GTGTATGAGGTCTCAGTGTTTTGATTATTATTTATTTTAATGCTGGAATATTTGCTTCTGTATAACAAGATACCTTTGGGGTGGGACCCACATCTAAATGCAGTTCTAAATGTGCCATTAATTCATATACACATTGTAAAAATGCCTGAAAGTAAATTTAGAAATATTTTAAAATAATTTCTACATGAACGTTTATAAATGTCAAGTTATGTGACAGCATTTAAACACCGAAAAGATTTTGGGTTTGTAGATGTTTTAGATTTGGGGTTTTCAGGAATGTTTAACCTATAACAGATAGATTGCTGATAATCAACAAGATTGAATGAAGTATACTTGTTTTCTAAAAACTTTGGAGAGTATACACATAGCACCCAAAAGTGTGGTCAGCCAACTGGGAAGAGCTGCCCCATGCTTGTAGTCTCAGCACTTAGAAGGCTGGGGCAGGAGTTTTATTATTTATTTTAAAAAGAAAACAAATAATCTTTTTTTTTTCATTTTACATACCAATCCTAGTTCCCACTCCCTTCCCTCCTCTCCTTCCCTCCACCTAACTCTCCCATACCACCCCCCCATCCACTCCTCAGAGACGGTAAGGCACATTGCTTTGAAGAAGGTCCAAGGCTCTCCCTAAACATTTACCTGAGCTAATGGGAGCTCACTAACTCCAGACAGACAGAGAAGGAAACTAGTCCCTCTCAATGTGGGTGACAGTTGTATGGCTGGGGCAGACTGTGGGGCCACTGGCGCTGACACCAGGACTTATCCCTACTGCTTGTACTGGCTTTTTTTTTTTTTTTTTTTTTTGGAGTCTATTTTCTTTGTATGAGGCAAGAGTTTCACAAGCTGAAGAGAGTTTTGGCTACAGAGTGAATTCAAGGCCAGCTCGAGCTACATAATGAGACATTATCTTGAAAGAAAAGAAAAAAAAAGAAGCAAAGCATGGTCTAAAACAACTAGTGCCCTTGGTGCTCCTGCCAAGAAGGCATTCGCAGTGGCTCAGCGGTGACTCCCAGAAGTGAAGATGAGCTAGGGAACATGATCTTCTTGAATTTGAAGTTTCTGTTTTGGGTTTGCTTTTCGTGAATCTTTGTTATTCCATATCAGGATGTGAAAACAATTTCCTGTTTTGGATAGAAAAGCAGTTTTCAAATTCACTTAAATAGTGCTTAAATATTATCAGTTCTGATTTGCTATCCCACTGGTAAGCTCAGATGAGGAAACAGGTGGAACAGCCCATTTAGATGCAAACAGAAAATTTCATGATATGAAATTATTCCTTCACAGAAAATGTGCGGCAAGTCAGATACTTTTTTATATATTTCACATATATCTGAATAATGGTGCGAGGCCATTCATGTCTCCCACATGCTTGTTTTTAATACAGTGTAGAGATGTATTTTAAATAGTGTTTTCCAGTTCTTTCTCTCCATTAGCAATGATGTGTATGTCTCTTTTCATTCTTTCTTTAAAATGTTTCCTCGGTATCAGGAAATTAACAGTTTGGACCACTACCTCTTGCCTTTCCATAACAGCAAGGGCAATTGCGTTCTCACTCACCACCTGCACTACAACGGTGTACGCACGTACTTCTGTCTGCTCGCGTGTGCTACATGAGGAAAAATATCAATTCCCATATTGCCTCTTGTTCCTATCATATATTCATGTTCAAATTTTCAATCAGAAGAAATGGAAAAATGAATGAGTCAATCTATTAGTAGATTGTTAGCTAATGCTGAGAATTGAACCAGGGTCCTATGTAAAACAGCAAGTATTCTTAGCCTTTGAGCCATCTCTCCAGCCCCATGAGTCTTATTCTTTTTTTTTTTTTAATTTTGAGACAGGGTTTCTCTGTGGTTTTGGAGCCTGTCCTGGAACTAGCTCTTGTAGACCAGGCTGGTCTCGAACTCACAGAGATCCGCCTGCCTCTGCCTCCCAAGTGCTGGGATTAAAGGCATGCGCCACCACCGCCTGGCATGAGTCTTATTCTTAAGCTCATGTCTTTTCAAACTAGAAATCTGTGATAGTCAGTGCATGACTTACTGATCTGATGATCTACTGTTTGCCTGAGTCTCCTTTGTTGATTTTTTTCATACTGATAATGCAATCCCTGAACCTCTTTCTTGCTGTGTTTGTCTCTGAATACCTTTCTTCATGTTCATGTTTGAACTCATCTTCTGAGACTTTCAGTGATGCTGTCATATATTTAGACCTCCTCATTCATGATGCCCTTTTCACAGCCACGCTCTTTTGTATTGCTGGCATGCTTTTTAATAAACTACGAGTATTGATAACAATTGTTTTTACAGTTACTTGCTTTTATACACTAATCTATTTTCTAGTTATTTTTCCATAAATTTGTTTTGTTGAGGTTTGAGGCTCTCCTCAGATATCTCCTGACCATGAACTAGTGACTCATGCATGGGAGCATCACATACTAAAAATGCTGACTGGAAGCTTCCAGATAGAACTCTTCACTAATATCCTTCACTTATAGGATAACATGGGAGGAGAGCGCTTTTGTTATTTCTTTCTTTAGCCTTTGACTTGCCCTTGACCTGCTTCAATTCTCCAGAGAAGAAGGCAAAGCCTGGTTGGGAAAGAGGGCGGGAAGGACTCAGTGTCACTGCATACTGGAAATATGCATGCTCTGCCTTCACTGTGCTTTGTTTTTGAAGTCCCTGACTTGAAGGGAAGAAATGGAAAATCAACTAGCTAGTACTGTAAGCATAAGATTTACCTTCCCAGTGTCCTTCAACTGTGGGAGAGAAAAGTTACTAGACTATAGGGCATCTGCATATTAAATGAATATTTATTGTTTTTGTTTTTAAACTTCAAAAAAAAAATAAGGGTCTGCTCTGGGAGGAAGCAGGAAGTAATGTTTTTGCATACTCTCTTTTATCATGCTGTCCCTATGGGCAACTCAGGTTACCAACTTGGTATGATTTTAGCCTGATTTACAAAGAATGAATTTACAGTGACAGGGCGATTTGCGGAGGTGCCTACATGCACTGCTTTAACCAAGTTTTCACACTCCTCTATGAACAGATCCTTAACAAATGGCTTGCAAGACAAGGTGTTAAGAAAAACTGTTCCATTTCTCTGTATTTCAGAGTTTGATTTGCAGGAGAGTACTCTATCATATAGAAGTGTGTGAACATACTGAAATCTAGTATCTGGTTGGATTACAATAGCCCCGGCCAGCATGCCCGGAGAGTCTTCCTACCTCTGCCCGCCCCATCACTGACATTATAGGCACAGCTGTGACCACCGATTTATTATAGGTGCTTGGGATGAACTTTAGGTGTTCAAGCTTGCCCAGTGAGCACTCTGCTGACTCAGCCATATATACCCATACCACCTGGTTTGAATATCTTAATGGTTTTTACGCAAATTATTCATGAAATGTTGGCTAATTAGCACAAAGAACAAAAGGCCTGGGGAAGGTTATCACAGATATTTTTCCTAACTTCATTTCCTGATTCGATTCACGACTATAGTCATGTGTAAAATATGTAGCAAATGTGCTCCACAGTATTTTGTCACATTCCATTCATCACATCTGATTGTAACATTAGTTTTTCTTAACCAAAACATCTATAATTCACCATTTTATTGAAATTTGGTACAATTACAGTCCATGCTGATGTGGTTTGAAAGAAATTTTTTTAAACATTGTAATGTAATTTTAAAATTTTTAAACAATGTAAATTTTACATTGGTAAGAAGATAATTTACTCAGTGGCAGGTTTGTAAGAGTTCTGGTCACAGTGCCAGAAGCATAAGAGATATTAACTAATAAGTGCTCTTTTTATATAACATGCACACACCAATTTTTGACATAAGATACCTTAAGAATAAGAGAATGTATTGCAGAGCATTATAAAGTTATCTAAGACAACTATAGAGAAGATAGGAATATCTGTGATTAAACCCAGAAAATCTGCCCCGGGGAGATCTTTCCTGTGTCAGTGGTCTCCCATCAAGGATGGCAGAAGCAGCCATGTAATAGCGTACAACACTTTCATATGTAAAAGCTAATGAAGAAGAGGCACCTTTTGAATTATGTAGATTCTAATTTTTTTATTTTTCTGCACACATTTTACAGCTTAAATGTGGATGAATTCGCGAGTTAGTTTTTGTCAACTTGGCACAAGCTAGAGTCATTAGGGAAGACAGAACTTGAACTGTGGGACTGTCTCCATCACCTTGTCCTGAGAACATGTCTATGGAGCATTATCTTAGCTGCAAATGGATGCAGGAGGCTCTGGACCACTGTGGATGGTTCTGTTCCTGCTCTGGTGGGCCTGGGCTGTGCAAGAAACATGGCTTAGCAGGCCAGGGGAAGAAACCAGAAACCATCATGTCTCCATGAATGTTTGAGTTTCTGCTTCTGTGTTTCTGCCCTGATTTCCTCGGTTAGAGATGGGATCCAGAAGTTATAAGAATTAAATGAAGCCTTTCTTCTCCAAGTTGGTTTTGGTCAGGGTTCTATCACAACAATAGAAAGCAATTTAATTCAATGATAGGCCTCAAATCAACCTTGTAATATGATGATAAAAAAAAAAACATAGTGCTAGGTTTCAGACAATCTGGGTTTAAAATGCTGGCTCCATTATTTGACTGTGTTCAGATTAATTAGTTAAAATTCAAGACTTGAATTTAATATGTGAAAAAGGAGACTGACATCATTCATCCTTAATATCAATACATAAAGCAATCTTTACAGTACTGTTTCATTGAGGTGTTTTACTTAGCTAAATGCAATTATTCTAATTTAATGAATAAAATTATATTCTGAAAGCATTATTTGTATCTATTACTCTCTGTGAGACATAAGTAGATGTCTTATTAAATATAAATAAACTCTTATGAAAATTTCAAAATATCTGTCTTTTGTTTGAACTCTGTCATAAGTGCTCTCATTTTAATTTAATGTCTTATCATCTCTTGGACAGAAGGCTGGATGACTGCCCTAATCATTGCTCTTTATTCTTTTACAGAGAAGTTTGTTGATAACATGCTTTTACGAAGCTCAGGAAAATTAAATGTGGGTACCAAGAAAGAGGATGGCGAGAGTACAGCCCCCACACCTCGCCCCAAGGTTCTTCGTTGTAAATGCCACCACCACTGTCCAGAAGACTCAGTCAACAATATCTGCAGGTTGGTGATGGAAATGCTTCAAACGTCACTTTTCTAAGTGGTCACATGCCATTTTGAACATACTTTAATGTTTCCAAGAATACGATCTGGAGGATGGTGCTGAATTTAGAGAAAATCTAATCTTATTTTACCCTGAAAGGGTCTTTGAGACATCCCTTTTATCTAAACATATAAGCAGAACGTGGGTTTCAGGCTCTTTGTCACTGAGAAGAAACTATTGTGCCTCTCTGTTCCATATTCACCTAACCTAGAGTTGATGCAGTTATGCTGATCTTGTTTTAACCACTCATCATCTTGATACTGTCAGTATCGGCACTAACAGGTTAACAAAAAGCCTCTGGAAAGCAGTTTTGTGATAAAGTTTATGTGAATCCAACAGATGTTAGGAGAGACAATGTCACGGTACTACAGCAATGAAATTGGAACTGGGAGAAGATGCTTTATAAAAGAAAAGAGTTCAGATTCAAATAACATAAAGCATTTTTCTTTGTACTCATCTTTACATAGCTACACCCATTTTTCTGGTTAGATAGCTGTTCTCTAGAGTAGGAGAAGAGTATGTAACCAGCCATAGCCTCTTGAGACTTAAGACAGGAGAGAAAGGCTACGCTACCCATCCATCGTGACTCCTGAGTGTGACAGTGTCAGAGGAGCAGAGTGTGCAGGCCTGAGGAATGGCCATCGACTCCAATGGGGAAAGGACTGCTAGTTTTGGAGTCCAGGATGACTGGACTGAGTTACTGCTCAGACCATCATCAGTCAGGAGGACATCTCAGACTGAGCTGAAGGCTCTTGCTATTGCAAAGACCTTTTATAATGCTTATCATGATAGGGATTCTACTACAGGTTTTTTACTAGTATCCCTAGTCTAAAAGTGACCAATTTAAAATGCTCTGAAAGCACGGATGTTATGCTGCTAGTGGAAATTTCTCCACCTGACTTCATATGATGGGTAACGGCCAGAATGCAGGCACACTAAAAATATTGTGTAAAATCAAGTCCCCGCTATGTTTACATAAGATACATAAGATATAAACTTCATGGTTAGTCATAAGTCCCATTCTCAAGGTATCACATTAAAAATATATAAATATTGTATAAATATAATAGCTGTGACCAGTGTTGGCTAGGGAACATGCTGCCTTTAAAATGCAGAGGCCTACAAATGAATTGTTTGTTGTTCACTTAGAGATGTTAAGCTCTGATGAGTTGGGTGACCTTGGCTGGAGAGTGATTGCTGGACTCAGACTTGCTATACATCTCTCCTTTCTTTTGGGAGAGCTGCTATGCAGGACACACTTTCTATTAGGTGCATAAAAGAGTAGCCTCCTATAGCCTCTGTCTCCCATGCTCTGATAGTTCATTAACCAGATCAAGTGGTAGAGTGAGGCTGGAGGTCAGAGGGAAGCCATGCCTATGGACAAGAGCCCATAATAAAACACTGTCTACTAGAGTAGGGCAGAGTCTCGAGACACTGTATAGTTGAGTCCAGGAGAATGTCCTAGGGGAAAAACAGAAGTAAGTGTCTTGAAAACTAACATTAGAGAGGGAGATAGTTAGGTCAACTGCATCGGATGCAGGTAGAAGTCAATTGTGACAAGGACTGGAAGTAAGAATCAGAATTGATAACTTTAATCAGAGTAATGTACAGATATTTAAGGTAGTAGAAACGGAAATCAGATTGATATGGGATTTTAATTGTGTGGTTGTCAACCTGTGATAGCAAAGGAAAACAGAAATGAATCCCATAATAATGAGAGAATCCCTCAAAAGAATATGAAGGTACCATTTGGTCAGTGTTGATGTGTTGACTTGTAGAAGTCAACAGAAAACCAGTACTTACTGAAATGAACATGTGTTTACCTTCACGTATCTGGTCATCACAGAATTCTTGTGAAGGATGCTGCACTTTCTGTTTATGTCCAGATAAGAAATGTGAAGTTCTGAAAGGTTAAGTTGTCTTTCGTCAGTTTGATGATATGATAAAAAAAAATTGGCCAAGACTCCAAGTATGTATGAATTCTTGGTCATCGGCCAACCCTGCTGGGTTCTGTGAGGACATTCACTCTTGAGTATGATTCTCATTTTGCTAGTGAGGAGCAGGCTCCAGTTGAATTTTCTCATGCGTGGATCACAGGGACTGCCTTTGTTCTTTGTCTAAGACCCGGAGAAAGCACATGACTTTGTCTCAGTTCTATGAGGCCATACTCTACTCTTTCCCTCCAAAGGATTACTTGTTGAACTCTCTCTGTTAAAAGATACCCCCTACACACACAAGGTTATGCCTGAGTACTTGCCTAAAGTACACTAAAGATTAATTATTAAAACCATTCATTTAAAAGCTTCTAAATTATTTGTCCTTTTTAATTTTTTAGTAAGTTTAAGTTTAAGTAAGACACAGATTTTTCGTATCATGTTGGTATATGAGTTTCCATTTCTGCTTAATCTCTTCAGAGCCCTGTAGGGAGCAGTTTGCTGTCCTGACTATTGCAGTCCTAGGCTTTAAGTACAAGGGTGTGCTTTCTCATGAGTTAGATAAAATCTGTTATATGTTATCTATCCTGAGGCTTTGTACCAAGTGAAAATTTCTCCCTCCATCAAGCTGCATGTCTCATGTAGGTTTCTTATTCAACATCTCTTCCACCGCTTGAAGAAAGCAATCCAAAAGGGGAACAAGAACCAATACCTACAGACATTCTGAAATATCATGGGCTGTCAGAAAACATAGGTGGAGTTTTAGAGATTTGTAAACTCTTCAGTACTCTTGGTTGTTTTACCAGGCAGTGATGAGGTTAAAGGTAGGGATGTGTCTCCTGCCAAACTTCATGTCATTTCCATTGCTTATGACATATATACTAGAGGATATTATATATATGTAGTTATTGAGTCATATGGGTGCTGAACACCTTTGATCCCAGCACTAGAGGAATAAATTCAAAGCGATAGTTGTAAATTCAAGATCAACCTGGCCTGTATAGCAAGAAAAGAAAAAAAAGAAGCATGACTGAGTATAACATTAGTATGAGTACGTTGTTCGTATCTGTTGGGCATAAAGCCATTGAGACTTCTCCCTTAAGGTGATGTCTGTCTTCTAAATGTGTTTCACCCTGTCCTGTTCTGTGTCATTTTCCCATTCTAGCAAATGTTGTCTCATACTTGCTTATAATTGTTTCTATGCACATTTTCATCTGGTTTAATAAATCCCTTCAAATCCTCTTATATAGTCTTTGGTAGTCATTTTTATTTCTTACCTCATGACCATACTCTAGTTCCTTCAATCAATTACACATATCTATCCATTATAATAGATATTGTTGATTCATCTTTCAGAGATGATTTTAATACTTCCTCATTATACTATTTATTTCCAATTAGAAATTCTATATGGGCAATTTTCAGATATAATAAGTTGACATGCTTATTCATATAAAGAATATAGAAATGACACTAGCTGCTTAAAAGAGGAAGTAGGTATGTTTCCAACTGTTGTCTTTTTGATTGCCATAATCTTTTCTTTCTCTCTTTTCCTCATCTCCATTACTCTCCTCCTCTTCTTCCTCCTCCTTCTTTGTTACAAGTTCTCATTATGGCCCCCTTACTGACTTAGAACTCACTTTATAGGTCAGCCTGGCCTTGAACTCACAGAGATACACCAACTTCTGTTTTCCAAATGTTTGCTAAACGTGTATTTAGAAGCATATGGATGAAAGGAAAACTAATGGCCATGCTAAATGTCACTAGAGCTATCTAGTTTTTCCAGTGTTGACCAGTCCAACTAAACATGGATGTTTGTTGAGTTTATCTTTTGTAGTAGGAGGTATTGATTTCAATTTTTATTAAGAGAGTGTTGACTCCTTCCCTAGAACCTGTGATTTAGTCATTACTCTGTTATTTCAAAGTCAATTATGAAATATTTTTATAGGAAATAACTTTTGTACATTTAATCAGAAATGAGACTGAATGGGACAAATTTGTTGTCTGATTTTATTGAAACTGTTGGGCTTCTTCAGATTATCTACAGAGAACTATAAGACCTAGAAGAGAAATATCTCTCAGACTGTAATATTAATATACAGATTGTCCAGGTCAAGAGACAGGAGAGAGGAGTCCTTCTTAGAGATTATGGGATCTGCATAAGGTAGTAATAGACTTAGTGGATGTACAACTGGGACAGTGTGAAAAATGTGTGCTGCATTGAACAATAAGACCATCCCTAGATCATTAGTCTAAGTGCCAGAAAAGGATACTGTCTAGAGAGAGACATTGTTCTTAAGGACAGCATGCATCAAAGGGAGCACTCGTACAGAGACTTTGCCATCGATGCTGTTAACTTCACACCCCTCTACAGACATTGCCCCCCCATAAGAAAAGACAAAGAAGGGTGCAGTATTAGTACTTTCTTTCACTCGAACTCTGTGGGAATCAGCTCATCTCAGAGGCTGGAGAGGAGATCACTAAAACCCTTAGCAATCCACAGCTTTGGAAACTGCCACTGCTCATCTTTTCTTGTTCTTGCCCCATCAGTTGAAAAACACCAAGTGGCTTCTGATTTCTATCCCTGCTGCTTGAAGCTGATGATTTTCTTCTCTGTAGAGTCAAAATCTGTGTAGTCCGTGTGCTTCTCAAACCAAGATGCCTATTCCTCAGGCTGCCTCCTTCGGTCCCTGATGCTTGAATGAGAGCCAAAAATGAAAACTGCCCTGAACAAAGCTGCAGGTGGCATTGGCCACTTGAGAAAAACCTACAAGATCAAACAGCAACTGTACAAACTGTGTGTACCATAAGATTACCTGTGCTGGAAATTTTGAAAACTTACTTTGTTCCCTTGAATGTGAAATAGGGATTTTCAAAGACAGGGTGTTCTCAGCCAGCCTTTTAAAATGGATTCTGATTGAGATTTAAACTCAAAGGAAATTCAGGAACTTAAGAATTTGGTACAGCTTTGAAAATGTGCAGAGATATGTATTGATCAGTGAGGAAAACTTAATACTTGGAGGCATGAGCTCATAACTGCTGAGCTATCTTGCTAGCCCTGTTTCCTTCACTCTAAGCAAAGACATTGTCGATGCCATTTTAGATGCCATATAAAATTGCTTTCTCTCCCTCAACAATAACTCACGGGGACTGTGCTAAACCCATTTAGAATAGAAATGAGAGCAGTTAAAATCTTTGCAGTTTCTAGATGCATTAGAAGCAAACAGGATCACTCTCCTTCAATGCTTCAAAGCAGGCATACCCCCTTCTTTACCAGTGTGAATTTACTAGGTGACACCGACTATCTAAAACAGTGTCTCCTTCCCATCTTCTAGATGTTTCAAACATTCCTTTGCATTGACAGTTCTATTAATTAACTCTGTGCCACTGCCCCTCTCATCCATAATCTTTACTGTAACCAAATGATTCATCCTGCATTCATCTATGAATTTCACTTCTTACAAATATTCCTACTTTGACTTCCTTCATGATTCTTACTCTTCCTTCATTAAAGGAATGTTGGCATAGCCTTGAACACCCAGGAAGCAGAATATTAAAAAAAAAACCTGATGGCAGGGGATAATTGTCCTTTATGACACCTAATAGCTGCTTCGGTGGTGGGCAGAGTTGGCCACCTTGGACTCAAGATCTGCTTGTTTCCCTTTGTGCTTGCTACAGAGTTAAAACCTCTTGAGTAGTGCATAGGTGTCCAGTTAATGCCCTGTACTAGACAGAGCGCTAGTGTGAAGTCTATAAAGTTTAGAAACTACATTTGCGGTGTTGCTGGTGATAAAAGTGAAATATGTCTCTCTTCCTTTCTTAATCTCCACATTTGATTTTTTATGTGAATTTATGACTTATGGTATAGTGATCCTTTTCTCCAGGATGCTTCTAGCTTCCTCTTTATCCCTAATACACACACACACACATACACACACACACACATACACACACACACACTGGATTTATTTTTATTTTATGTGTATAGGTATTTTGCCTGCATGTGTGTATGTGTACAATTGCATACAATGCCAAGACAAGCAAGAAGAGGGTTCTAGATATTTGGAACTGAAGTTACCATGTGGGTGCCAGGAATTAGACTCAGGTGTTCTGGAAGAAAACTAGCTGCTCTTAACTGCTGAGCAATATCGTCACCCCACCACACACACACTTCTTTGTATTTCTAACTCTCAGATCTGCAAACAGGCTTGTATATTCTTAAAGCTTGATTTACTCTCCCTAGTTTTTGTATTGTAAGTTCCCAGAAAATTTACTTTCTCTCTCTCTCTCTCTCTCTCTCTCTCTCTCTTCTTCTTCCTCTTCCTCTTCCTCTTCTCTCTCTCTCTCTCTCTCTCTCTCTCTCTCTCTCTCTCTCTCTCTCTCTCTCTCTTCCTTCATTTTTTTATTTCTAAACTGCCTTGATATTCATTTTGATACACTTTGATTTTGTTCAATGCATTAAATCATCTCAGATATAATGTATCATGTTGATTGCACTACTGTCTAAGAATTCCAAATACTTTCCACAAATATAGTCTAAATACGTAGAAAAAGCATCAGAAACCCACATGAGTCATATTTACTCATTTGTTTGGAGTGAAGGTCCATCTTATTTATTGCCTTCAGTATTGTGTGGTTTATATTCCCAGTGAGGTTTCAGTGAGTTGACTAAGAAGTTGAGCATGGATTGTTCAGAGGCAGTTTTTCTTCTACAACAATATTCATGCATTTGACCTTAGTCTAACACAGATTTATCACCGGCCCTTCCTCGCCATTCTTTAGTATGTTTCAGCTCTGCCCTTCTAGTTTCTATAAACTGAGACATGTCAGATCACTTGAGACTTAGAAACTAAGTAAACAATTGTAAGGATGTTGATGATAACTGAAGGGCTGGCTAATGCATGTCAGAATGCGGCTACCGCTAATGCGAGTAGACAGACCTACAAATCATGGCTAATACTGTTCTCGCAGCTTTGTTCCCATGACCTTTGAGATCTCCATTGTCATATTTGTCTTGGACACTGCACATGCATATGGATGAGAAAAGGATGAGAGATGTGGCTTCATACTTTATTTCTAAAGACACAGATGGCAATTTGTGACTTACATTGAAAATCCACAATATAAGGGGTGATTTATGAAAAGAATATAGCGGTTTGGATGCATGTACATACCAGTTGCTGTTTCTGGTTTAGTCCCGGGATAGCAGATCACAAGCGTGGGTGAATTAAGAGGCCCTCCATTCAAGGCCTGATGCTGTAACTATTTCTATTCAACTTTAAGTAGTGGTGTTTTTCTTATCAAGTCAGTTCTCCTGTTTGTAAAATGGGAATAGTATTTTCTTCTAATTATTGGTAAGCAAATTAAATATCAAACAGTTGAACATGATTTTTATCTGGAGAAACATTAAATTTTAGTTATGAAAAGCCTTTCTTTCTATTGTCCATTCTTATCCAAGTCCAAAAGTGTTTGCTGCCCTGCTTAATTTTTGGTTGTGCCCTGCCCACTCCCAAAGCAAATTACTAGGTACTATACCTTCACTGCATTGACTGTCAGGAGGGGCTGAGCTCACTCTTGCCTGTCTTCAACACCATGCCTTAGAGGGGGGTGTATTTCACTGCACCTGACGAAAGAGCCCAGCCCCTGATTGCACTGGCATAGGTTTCAGTCTTGGCTTACCACCACCCCCAAGTGACATTTAGAAAATTACTAGTCCACTCTGACCCTTAGTCTCCTCACATAAAGGTGAGGATAGTACTGTCTTCTTCAGGTTTTCTGTTTGGAAAGGTGATAGGGCCAATATAAGTTCACTAAGAGTGTAAAAGCCTTTTAATGGTATTTAATGACACATGGGAACTTTGATTTTTCTCTTCCCTGAGTTTCTGAGTGAAGGAGAAACTATATGTTTTTAATGATTGGTTCATCTACTTTCATAGATTCAAATATTGAGATGTCTTCAATAGTTTTCAATCTTAAAAAAAAGAATTCATTAACTTTTTCCTATTGTGACGAAGCCAGTGGTATTACGTTCATTTTATTTTTCTAAGTCATGTGTTTTTTTTTTTTTTCTCACCTTCTCGCTGCACCTGTTTGGTCTTCAGCACAGATGGGTACTGCTTTACAATGATAGAAGAAGATGACTCCGGAACGCCTGTGGTCACCTCTGGATGTCTAGGACTTGAAGGGTCAGATTTTCAGTGTCGCGTAAGGAAGATAACTTGAATTTACTTTGTAACTTACATTGGCTAATTTTCAAAAATATTCAAACAAAATTAACTAATCCTTTTGTTATGGCTATTCCATGTTGAACAGTTTGTAAAATAATTGAAAATTCTCATTGGCCAATTCTCTCCATTTTCAAACTATGTTTTTTTTTTTTAAATGAGCTATTAACATCATACTTAGTTTCCAATTAGACCATTTTTAAAATCCTGATTATTTATTGCTTAAACTGAGGCTACATTATTTGTTTATTCAATGTACGCTGGTTACTGCAAGTACAATAAAATTTTACTGAAATAGAAATGTTGCAATGGTACATGATAATTTGAAATAAATTTCCTAATGGAAAGTAGCATTTTCAAGACTTGAGCAAAATTATTCGAATTTTAAATATATTATCTAGTGACAATCTGGTAAATTTTAGATCATATTACATTGAAATTTAGAGGCAACCCACTAATAGCTGTTTGCATTCCATTTTAGGACACTCCCATTCCTCATCAAAGAAGATCAATCGAATGTTGCACGGAACGGAATGAATGTAATAAAGACCTACACCCTACTCTGCCTCCGCTGAAGAACAGAGGTAAGACAGGTGAGGGGGTACTTCATCTTACTGAGGATGAGCACCGGACTCCTTCTCCTTGCCAAATTCATTGGGCCTTGACCATTCTTGCCTTCAGTTTATTTTCTCACTTCCCATTGCACCTTTTTGGTCCTCAGCACAGATGGGTACTGCTTTACAATGACAAAAGGAGACGACTCTTGGAAGACTGTGGTCACCTCTGGATGTCTAGGACTCGAAGGGTCAGATTTTGAGTGTCGTGTAAGGAAGATAACTTGAATATACTTTGTAACTTACATTGGCTAATTTTCAAAAATATTCAAACAAAATTAACTAATCCTTTTGTTATGGCTATTCCGTGTTGAATAGTTTTTAAAATAATTGAAAATTCTCATTGGCCAGTTCTCTCTTCATTTTCAAACTGTTTTTTTTTTTAAATGAGCTACTAACATCATACTTAGTTTCCAATTAGTTTCCAACTAGACCATCTATAAAATCCTGATCATCTATTGCTTAAACTGAGGCTACATTATTTGTTTATTCAATGTACGCTACGGGAGCAGAGGGCTGAGGCAACATGGCATTATTAATGTCATTCAACAATTATACAAGCAGATCTTGGCTTAGTGCTGTGTATCGCTTCATTCTTACTTAGGATCTTTATCGTCCTGCGTCTCTCCACCTCTCCCCAGACAACTCCTGTTTTGAATGCTTGCATCATGCAGCCAAGAGGTAGAGAACACACAGGATTGCATGCTCACTCCTTAAAGTTATTCAGAATTGGGATTTAACTAAATCTATTATGCCATTGTACCCATTCAAAAATAAAGACCTTATACAAGACCAAATAAAGATTGTTTGGTCTGCCACATTTTTTTAATCTTCATAACAGATTAAATTAATCGCATATTTCTAAAATGGGGAACTTTTTTTTTACAGTTTTAACTTCAAAGTTTATAAAATTAAGTGTATTTAAAATGATGGTTGTTGCATACGTAAAGACTTTTTGGCACAGATTTCAACAACAGCTCCTAGATTTTCTTTTTCTTCCTTGTACTAATCCCAAACAAATAATTTGTAAATGTTGCGGTCCTAAGTCTTATTGCATAAGTCAAAATATGATGTTTCATGATTGGTTTTATTTCCTGAGAGCATATTACATACAAAACATAGTAGCACTTTGTATTTTTGATAACTTCATAAATATATTCCCACTTAAGTCTTGAAGCTTTTTAGATTAATTCCCATGAATTCACATAAGAAACTCACCATTTTCCTTATTACTTTTTCAAACAGTATCGTAAGTTTTAGGAATACAGAAATGAAGAAAATATTGCTTACAAAAGTATTGTTTGCTTATACTAAGGTATAAGAATTAACATATAAAATTAACTTACATTTGGTCAGGAGTATCTCACTAATAGAGCTAGATTACAATTCATATTAATGATGGCTTAGTATCTTTTCTGTCGCTGTAATAAAATGCCCTGACAAAAAGAAACTTTGAAAAAGATGATTTAATTTAAAATACCAGAGAGGTCAGGACTGGGGAGTCAGGGGAGACAAAAACAGTGAAACAGAAAAGAAAGTGAATCCGGGCTATCAAAACTCAAAATCCACCCTCATTGAAGCATTTCTTCCCTCAATGCTTTACCTCATAAAGGTTCATTAGCATTGCCAAACAGTGCCACCAGCTGAGGAAACTCAGTATGATGTGAACCCCTGAAAAGTGTCCCTAGATTTGCCTTTTTGGAGTAGGAAACCCCTCAAGCTCTTTCCTTTCAGAAATTGGGGCTCTAACCTGGTAGAATCTTGTCTCCAGGGCACCTTTCCTGGTGTTGCAAAGCAGCCCAGCAGAGTTCCTGTCAGTGGTGATACACTCATCAACAGTGATGAACTTTTCAGCACATGGCTTGGCTGAAACCCTAAGTTCCTTAGGACCCTTTTTCTCCCCGGAAACTGCAGGTTTTAAAATTTCTTTTGTCCCATTGGCTTTGTTTTTCCATTGTTGGCATGCACAAGAGTAATCAAGGATAACCATGCCACAGACTCCATGCTCTGCTGCCTGAAACTTCGTCTGCCACAGCAATTAGTCTGTGCTTTTGAATTCAGCCTTAAATAAATTCTTAGCACATAAGTAGAATGTAGCTGATTATTTGCCGATATATCACATGAATGGCCAGTAGCCCAGCTGCCCTTTGAGTCCTTGCTCCGCTCTGAATCTTGTAGAGATGTGCCTCCAGTGTTCCATGTTGCCCCCAACCCTGTTTTCAAGCATTCATAGAAATGGCCCACTCAGCTCTGCCACAGTACTTTCCTGTCTGAGGTTCTGAAGTCTTCTACAGCCCTCTGAAAACCATCATCGCCAAGTTCGCTGCAGAAGCAAATCTACCTTTCTGTCACCAACTTCTGTAATGGTTCCTTTTCTGTTGCTATGTAGAATATCCTGACAAAAGGGAGCTTTGCAGAGAAATTCCTTATTTTGACATCCGAATACACATGGTCCTTTATGGTGTAGAAAGCATCACCGCAGGACTGTGAGGCTGGACATAATAGAGGTAGTTCGAAGTCAAATGGCAGGATAGCACAATAGCCTCAGAGAAGTGACCCCTGAACAAGAATCAAGGATGAACAGGAATTTACTAAATGGGTTAGACAAAATATTAAATGAGAATTAGAATGACTAATGTAAGCCAGGTGTTATACCAACCCGTCTGAATTCTACAACTCCGAGGCATTTGGGGTGGATGTTCCCATTTAAAGATGAAAACCTTCAGTATAAACGTGTGACAAAATTCAGTTTTGTTATGAACCAGCTGTCTCTCAGAGGGAACCAGCTTGCCATCAGAGTTCTCAGTTGGTTCTACTCCCTGAGAAGTTGCAGGGACAGCATAGGTAGAAATGTGCTGTCCCAGAAGAGTCCCGGGTGATTCCCTTTTCTTCATGGATGTCTGGAAGGGTTTCTTCCAGGAATATTTATGTTAATACTCCAAGTGCAGACAATGACAGAGTAGCATGAGACTAACATGACCAATGGAAACAGAGGTTTATTGATAATGATCAATTGTTCATAAACCAAAAATGTAGACAGCCGACTTGACTGCAAGAGAGGGTTATCGTGGAAAAGGAAAGTACAGAAGAACACTAGCTTTAAGTACAGTGCTCACTGGCGAAGAAGGACTTCCTTAGGTCCTTGTGGTTTTGCTCCTGTCATAAGTCAGAAATGTAATGAGTAATAAACACATGGTCGGCAGTTCACAGTGTAGTCTGTCCTTGGCATCTATAAAAAGGCAAAGGGAATCTGAGTTTTAGGGAAATTATATCATCAGAGTAAAAAATTCTGGGTTTACGTACTGGAAATTAACTATGACCCTGTGGTTAGATTTAATTTTATTAGAGAAATATTCTCTTTGGATTCCTATAAAAATGTAGAGTTGTCTTAAAATTAGAAAGATAATGTAAGCTGTGTTTTTCAGTATAAGCAAAGATTCCAGTCTTGACGTTTATATACAGGACATAGAAGAAAGGAAAAAAAAGCAATTGTAGACCATTTGCTTTTAAGGACCTATAAATTGTTTTTATTTTTTAACATGTATTAAGCAGTGTGTTCTAAACAGTATATGTGCTGAGCTTCACTCCTGTTTATTGTGATAGCTTTTTAGACAGTATCTATATATCATAGCTATATGATATATATAATTTACAGCATTTGAGGAGGTCTTATGCTTTACACTTATCAGAAAGCAGCTTTGGGTATAATGAATATAGATTTACTTTTGTTTCCTGTCCAAAGAATATTCCAGATGCCAGGTGAGAAGATCCTACAAACCCACCCATACACATGAGCTCCTGCTTGGCCGTTAGTCTCAGGGACACATTTATTCCTCATAAATGTAAACCTCCCGTGGTTTAATTGTGTCAGGTCAGTTCCATCCATAGTGGATTCTCGTGCTGATGAAATACACATCTGGCTGAGTGGATTCATCCTAGCTAAACATGCAGTTTTGAGTGTATATGTGTATCTTCTCACAGCATGCTAAAGTTGTTTTTTTTTTTTTTCCCTGTATTTTGCTTATCCTGCTTTAATGAAACTTTGGGAAGGAGTTCATTCCTTTTAAGTAAAAGCATGTGCTGTTCTGTGGCTTTCTTTTTCAGATTTTGTTGATGGACCTATACACCACAAGGCCTTACTTATATCTGTGACTGTCTGTAGTTTCCTCTTGGTCCTCATTATCTTATTCTGTTACTTCAGGTGAGTAATAGATAGACACATGGAGTTGTACACTCAGAGTGAGATCCCCACATGAATATTTTTTACTGCTTTGCCTGTCAGGGGTTTGCATCATAGCATTTTTGGCCCCCCAGATCTTAGGTTTATCTGAGAAGATCTATTACCATTGACAAAGACTTACCGCAGTGAAGCTATAAGTAGACGCCTGTCTCATTTCAGACATCACAACTTCGCAGATAAAGTTTTCATCCCTAAGGAAACATGGAAAAATGGAAAATTTAGTGACTAGTTATGACTTGGGTTTAAGTCTAAGCAAAGAAGAAACCATATGGGAGTCTGAGTACTTTCAGTAATTCCTTATTTCCTGACTACAAAATTCCTCGAGTATTAGAGCATTTATTGAGCAAACATTAAAATAAACTAAGTTTAGTTAAATAAAAGTTTTTTCATCAAAAACTCATTTTCTACTTTGTGAAATATAAAGGTTTTAAATGTCCATATAATTTGAGCGTCCTAATATTCAAGCATAACATTCTATGAATACATAAATTAGTTGACTGAAATAAATTTTTGAAGAATTGCAATAGCATATTTTAAGCTTTAGTTTTATGTCATGGTTATTGAATGGTCTTATACATTTTCTTATGTGAAAGAGTCTCTGCATACTTTTGTAAATGAAAAACTTGTATATTTAATTACCTAGGGAACTTAAAGGAAATGCATCTAGGAAGCGGATATTGAAGCTACTTGGAAATGTTAACAGAATATAGTCTACTGTATAGCAATTGAAAGACATAGAAAAGAAAAAGATTGTACATGATTGAACGAAAAGCATTCCAAGGGTAGCAAATAGCATTTGATCTTGCGTTTGTTGCTAAACTTCATGATTAACATTTGTGCATGACACATTTAGGTTCTTAATAGTATCTTCCTCATCCACACTTAGGTATAAAAGACAAGAAGCCAGGCCTCGGTACAGCATTGGGCTTGAGCAAGATGAGACTTATATTCCTCCTGGAGAGTCCCTGAGAGACTTGATTGAGCAGTCTCAGAGCTCGGGAAGTGGATCGGGTCTCCCTCTGCTGGTAGGAGAAGAATATAACATGAATTTCAAGGAAATGTGTTCTGAGGGGAAAAGTCAGTTTCACCTTACAGAGCAGTAGACTCTGAGAATGCTCTGTAGGCATTAGGCCTCTGATCTTAGATGTATGGCTTCCTGGTAACATTTGACAAGCTGAGGGTGAGGTTATTGTTCTTTAACGTAAGTGTCTGGTTATAAACCAGACCCTCAGACATCCTGATCAAGAGTGGGCTAGAAAAATATTAAATGTTTTTGGGAGGATAGTGTTACTGTACTTTGATCTGGCTATTGAAGACCAAAGTATTACCACCGGCATCTGCAAAGAAAGGCGGCTGGATTTCAGCTGCAGAGTGAGGTTTCAGGTTGATGTCTGAGCTATCCATTCTGGAGAGGTTAATTTCTGAGAGTCGGGACTGTCAACTCCGACAAGAACATATTCAAATCCAACCGATTCATTGCAATCCGAGTCGCATGACTTGGCCGAGAAAAGTGTTTCATTCTTTTATAGACCACTGAGTAAGGTTGTTGGAATGAAGGAAAGATATTTTTAATGAAAACTAATTTCCTTAATGAGCGTTATTATTTTAGAGAGAGGTGAGGTATATATGAATATGTGTGGGTACGCACATGCGATGATCAGAGGCAACTTGGAGAAACTGGTCCTTCACGGTGCGCTTATGGAGGATTGAATTCAGTCTCGGGGGCAAGTACTTTCCCTCACTGACTCACTGAGCCATCTTGCTGGTCTCTTAGAAACTCCAAAGATTGACAGTCAGGCTTCAGGCTCTGCTTCTGAATTGCTTGTCTTCGGGCCTGTTTCATCTTACAACCTTGTATTTACCTTTACAGTTACATTTGGAGACCACACAGAAAATAGCCTGTACATGGGCAGTCATGTTAGTCATGATAAGCAGAATGATAGTACTTAGGGCTTTAAAACTTGCCCAGGTTCTGATGATTAAATAATTGTTTTTTATTTTTATGATTATTAATTCATTAATTCCATTAATTCATTTGTAGCAATTCTAATTACAGTGTTTGTAACTCTTTAGCGTTGTAATCTTTTTAAAAGTACAAATAGGGAAACCCAATTGGTACTAATAAATTAGTTGCTTCTGCTCTTGGAGTTCTAACTGATTTGAGTTTAGTGTCTCCTAACTCATCTTATTAAGCTGTCATTGCCTTTCTTGAATCCTGCTTTTCATCTTTGCCCAGATACAACAGTCTAACACCTCCCCTGGTCTGTAGATTTTCTTTTCTCGCTTCCTATGGCCAGCATTTAAGCACCACCTGACTCCTGCTTTTTCCCTGCTCCCCTGCCTGCAGCCTGATCACCAGCATCACCTCTGAGCAGCTGTTCTCCAAACAAAACACAGGCCCCTCTGTTTTCAAATGCAATCACTTGCTGGCACATTTCTCTCGTTTATGGCTCAAGGCCTCCTTCATGTTACCTCTCAACACTTTTCAGTTATCTCAGCCTGGAGCCTAGATGCCTTTTGTCATTACACAGTCTTTTTATACTAATGTTGCAGTTTAATTGGCAGGCCTTACTTGAGGGTGGGATATACCCTATTGTATTCTCTTTCCATTTTTCCCAGGGTCTCTCCAGTCCATTACAAGGATGCTCAGGTATTTGTTGTGAAGAGCTTTTAGCTCTAGAGTTTTACCATCCGCGGGGATCCTAATTACTCTAGATCCCAGCCCATCACCAGTGTTTGGCTTCTCTCTAGATCTGCTTTTCGTTGCTGCAGCAAAATACTTGAGAAAACAAATGGAGGCATTCTTAATTTTTATTTATTTTTTCATACACTGTGTTTTCATCATGCTTTAACCTTCTCCAACTCCTCTGAGATCCTCCCTACTTTCCTGCCCACTTGACTTCATGTTCTCTCTTCTAGGAACACAAAACAAAACAGAACAGAACAACAACAAAACAAAGCGCAAAATAAAAATAATACTACAAAATATCCAAACAAAATAAAAGCCCATAACAAAATTCATGGTGTATGATTTTGTTGTTGTTGTTGTTGTTGTTGGCCAACTACTCTTAGGCATAGGATCTGCCCTGGACGGTGGTTGATAGACCCAGTGACACTCCATTGGAACAAACTGATTTTCCCTTTGCCAGTAGGAATTAGTCGCAAATAGCTTCTTTGATAGGGGTGGGACCCTGTGTCCACTTTCTACTTCTAGTGCTAGGATTTGGTCTGGCTTGAGCTTGTGCATGCTGTTATCGTTTCTGTGACTTTATATGTGTATCAGTCCTGTTGTGTCTTGAAGACACTGTTTCTCTGGAGTCATTAAACAATGACTGTCACCATCATTCTATCTTCTTTTTCACATAGATCTCTGATCCTTGAGTAGTAGAGGGGTTTGATGAAGATATCCCATTTAGGACTAAGTGCTCCAAAGTTTCCCTCTGCATAATGTCCAGTTGTGGGTCTCTGTGTTAATTCCCATCTACTGCAAGAAAAGACTTCTCTGATGAAAATTGAGTGATTCAGTCATTTCTGGTCATAGCAATATGGCATTAGGAATCATTTTATTAATAATTTCCTGTAGCAGAATAATAGTTGTAGGCTTTCCCCTAGTCCCATGACTTACCAAGTCTGAGATCCGTGGCCACTTCAGTGTGGTCAGATGTGGGGTCAGTCTCATGGAATGGGCCTTGAATTCCATCAGAAAGTTGTTGATGATACCCATTGCACCTTTTGTACCAGTGTATCTTGCAGGCAAGTCACTGCTGTAGTTGACAGGGTTTGTAGCTAGTCATTACTGATGATTGCCTCTCTTCTGATAGTGTCCTAGAACTGTTAACACTATAGATTCTCTTGCTAGATTGGCTGGTTTGTCCAAGCCAGAGATTGTCCTTTGAAAATATATTCCTGTTGATTATTTATAGTAGCCCCATGAAATAAGAAAGCCAGGTGGAGATAGAGTCTAAGAAATGCATCTCTAGACAGTTGTATTGTCATGTGAACATTAAAGCATGTTTTCACACAAAGTAATATAGCTCTATTACCACTAGGAAATTTAATCTTCTAAGATCATTATTGTTTATACAGATTATCATTGACCAAAAAACCCAATATGTATCACTTGGCTGAACGAGATATACATTAATATATTTTTGCATTAATTTAGCGATATAGTCCCAGTTAAGTCAATCAGTATATGGAGAAGCCAGATTCTAATTCACACTGAGCCTCTAGAATCCATGTTATTGACACTCTTAACATGTGAAATATTAGTTGAGTAAGAAAATTGTATGGGTAGCAGCCTAGAAAAGAGGCTCCCAGGAGACCTAGATCCGTGAAAAAGTAATATCATCTCAGCATTATGGCTATGCTATCTAGTCTTAAGATGTGAACTTTGAGATAAACATTGAGAAGAGAGTATCGTTAAGGGAATGGCTTTCTCACCTGATTGGTTGCTTTTTTAAAGGCGGTGGGAAACTTTACTTATAGTAATTTAATATATGTTGGTCATTTTTATGGCAGATAGCCAAGATAGCCAGCTAATATAGAGACATCTTTGTTTGGGCTCATAAGGCTAGAGGGTTGTCTGGGGTTGCTTGTCCTCTTGGTTTTGGCTGTGGTTGCACACTCAGGTGAAATTTCATGGCAGAACAGAGCTATTCATCTCCCCACAGGAAGTGAAACAAGAAATTGAGAGACCTATAGTTTCCTTTGTTGCCACATTCCCTGTGACCTAAAGAGTTCCTACCAGACCCCATGTCTTAAAGTTCCCACTTTCTCATCTTTGAACCAAGCGGGAGAGCAAACTCTGAACACACAGACCTTTGGGTGACACTTAAGGTAGAAATTATAACAAATTACTATAAATTTTATCTGCATACTCAACTGAAAGGTTTCTGTACCCCGATATTAAGCCTCTCCGCTGACACAGCCAATCAAATTGAGCCAATTAAAAATTAATAAGTCCAAGTTTAGCTGAGGAAAGCATTCCTGAGTGGCCCTTGGGGAAGAAAAGAAATTCACGAGAGAGAACCATGTGGCAAGTTGGGTGTCCTTGCCTTAAATAACCTGTAGGCGTGGGGTCAGGTATGGGGGGGGGCGTCGAGCTACCATGAGGGCTTTCTCAGGGCTCCCCAGCTGGAGATGGCAAACATCAACTTTAATAAAAATTGTTGAACCTGATTTGGATAAAAAAAATTTATGTGCAGAATGAGAAGGAACATTGGTGAAATAAAAAACTGAAGTCAGTGTTTAAATTTCAAGCATATGTTCGGGTTCTTTGACGATATAATCTTAAAATTGTGAGTAAGATTTCGTTTCTAAGTCTAAGTTAATGACAGTGTGCCTTGGAGGTCTGTTGTTTCTGTCCCATTAACATTGTGATCGCTATTAGCACATTCACAGAGAAGACATCTCATTGCTGGACAAGAAGCAGAGCTGTTTGTTAGGCAGGGTTCCTTAGATTCACAGAGCAATGCCTGTGCATCTGTTAGGGGAATGTGCTAGCTTTAATAACTATAGTAAGTTCCCCTCCAGGTGGATGCTCTAACTGCTCCATACCTGTCTCTCGGCTGCCTGTGCTCTCTTGATGCTTCTGTCATAATGTCAGGGGTGTGGACATAGAGTATACCAATGGTTGCCTTCTCCAGAATGCCTAACTCTGTGATGGGGAGGCTGCTATATGCATCTGCTGGTCTGCTTCTTTCTACCTCACTTCATGATTTCTAGACCCCTGGTAGTCCTTTGATTTTTAAAATCTTAACTTTAGAAAAAAAAAGTTTTCTTTTGTAACAAGATTTAATTTTTTTTTTGGTCAATGTCAGGAACAGTTTTAAGAATAAACTCTGGACCTCTGAGGAAGGAATATGCAGAATAATGTCCATATCCAAGCTTTAGAATCTGTTATGTTGTCTGGCAGGGGGGATTTAGGCTGCTAGCCCTTGGAACCTGGCAGTGAGAGAATTAGTTATCACAACGTAATGATCCTAAAAATTCAGAAACAGAAAGAAAAACCTTAAGCTTTTAGCTGATGTATACAAAGAAGAGTTTGCATTTATTATGGTAAGATTTTGCTAGTATTATACGCTGGCTGACTTGCTTATTAATTTGAGATATTATCCTATGTAGATCAGGCTGCCCTTCACCACACAGTCTATCTACTTGGCCTCCTGAGTCCTGAGACTATGGGAGTGTGCCCCCAGACCTGGCTGTTCATTCTGTCTGTCTACTTTCCAGATTATGTAAACTGCCTCCAGTAGTTCCTCCTTTCAGCTAGGACACCACTGATGAGTACGGATGATATAAACACCATGAAGACAGAGTCGTTTCATTCCCATTAACTCAATGCCCCCCCCCCATTTTTGTAATTCTTCAGCTCTATTTTATAGATTATTAAATGAACTTTGTCTCCAACTTGTTAACTTTCTTTTGCCTGTTTTCCTGTATGGACTACTGTTTTGTGGCTCCATTCTGTATTTTTCACCACCATAAATTTTCTGTATTTATCGCTATTTCAAATGTACAGGTTTNTTTTTTTTTTTTTTTTTTTTTTTTTTTTTTTTTTTTTTTTTTTTACCGTCTCACCTCACTTGCCTAGTCCTCATTTAGTTTCTTTTTCTTAAACATTTTCTGCGCTGCTTGGCATTTTGTAACTAAAAATCCCACAATGTAATTGGAAGGAGTTCTAACCTGCCAGGCGGGGGTGCTCAATCTCATTTGCAGTGGCCTTTCCTTTCTGTTTTGTTTCTGCTGAGCTCTCCTTTCCCACTTCATCCTTTCATTTTGTTTTGTCGTTTGTTTTCTCTGCTCTTCCCCAATTTAGGAATTTTGATAAATTCCCTTGTGCATCCAATATTTTTTTCTTATTTAATGGATCCATAGTTTGTTCTGTGGTGGCGAGAATTCCTTCAGACTATTCAATAAGTCATTGTAATAGTAGAATAACCTTGATCTGTCAGGTATGAGTTACTGTGAAGCCATTTGTTTTCTTTGTTCTCTATGAAAATTGCAATATGTAGAACGGAGAGTGGAATGTCTAATTATTTGGAAGCAGTATTTGACTATTTAAAATGGGCAAGCATCCATCTGAAATGCGCTTGAGAGAACAGCATAAATTAGTAAATATAAAGAACTCGTGTGTATAGAGAATAATACTGACTACACATTTTCCCACGTAGTCATTGCTCCCCCGCCCCCCGCAGCACAATGGAGATAAAGTTTAAACAGATGCATAGTGTTGTAAATATATTAATGGCATGTCTTGGGCTTTGCCAGGTCCAAAGGACAATAGCTAAGCAAATTCAGATGGTGAAGCAAATTGGAAAAGGTCGCTATGGGGAAGTGTGGATGGGAAAGTGGCGTGGAGAAAAAGTAGCTGTGAAAGTGTTCTTCACCACGGAGGAAGCCAGCTGGTTCCGAGAGACAGAGATTTATCAGACGGTCCTGATGAGGCATGAAAACATTCTGGGTGAGTCACAGTCTACACAGCAATTGTTGGGGTTTTGTCACATTCTTCTGTCTTTCTCTCCACATCTGCATGTGAACTCATCTGTCTAGACCGATTATGAAACTTACAGATTCTTTCTCTTTGGAGTGAGCCCAGAGCCCATAAACTTCTCACAAAAGACGTCACAAGAGGCATGACTACGGTGCTTCTGTGGATGGGTGGTGGCCTGGAAATGCAATACTCACCAGTGATTTACCTCTTTCTTTAGAAACAGGAAGTACAAATGAAATACTAGAATTCCTTAAGGTTTCTTAGGGATTTGAAGGACCATATTTGGGTTTTAATGTTGTAAAAAGTTTTAGGCGTTTTTATTTGCAGCATGTGTTTATAGCAAGTGTTTATGTTCAGAATTGATTTCATTTTCCTTTCCTCAGGCTAGATGTGATCTACATGGGTCAAGTTAGTAGAAGAGGATCCAGTCAGTGAAGTAGAAGGCCTGATTTTAGCCTTTCATATAACATACCTTACATGTAACTTCAGTACCATAAAGGAATTTCTATACTACTGGTCAGAGAGTGATTTCAGATCCAAACTCTTAGTTTTTCTTCCTCCCTCCAATTTTGATCACATCTGCTTGGTATTAGTACTTTAACGCTATCATAGGCATAGTCAGAAAACTGAGCGAGGTGCTAATCCAAAGACATCTGGAGAGGAAGAATATTTGAGCATATGAATTATTCCTCATTCTGTCCAGGAAACACATCTAATCCTCTTTACTCTTTTGCCTTTTAGGGTTTATTGCTGCAGATATTAAAGGGACTGGGTCCTGGACTCAGTTATACCTCATCACAGACTATCATGAAAATGGTTCTCTTTATGACTATCTGAAATCCACCACCCTAGATGCAAAGTCCATGCTGAGGTTAGCCTACTCTTCCGTCAGCGGCCTTTGCCACTTACACACGGAAATCTTCAGTACTCAAGGCAAACCAGCAATCGCCCATAGAGACCTGAAAAGTAAGAACATCCTGGTGAAGAAAAATGGGACCTGCTGCATCGCAGACCTGGGCTTGGCTGTCAAGTTTATCAGGTTAGTCTCTAAGTCAACACCCATTCTTTCTGAGTGCCCCTCTTCTAAGATAATTCAATGGTTGATGAATATCATAGACTTCAACTCTTTTGGAGATAAAAATATCACCATTTTCTTTGTAACATGCTGTTTTGGGGTCAGCCCTAGGTACCATGAGAAAGCAGGCTAAACAAGCCATGGGGCACAAACCAGTAAGCAGCTGTCCTCCAAGGTTTCTGCTTCAGTTACTACCTCCAGGTTCTAACCTTGACCTCCTTCCTGCCCTGGCTTTTCTGAATGTAATTACATTCTACTGTAAGGTGGAACAAACTCTTTCTTCATCAGGTTGATTTTGGTCAATGATGTTTTTTGACATCCATACAGATCCTACGATGATGCCTGAGAAGCTATTGCCAGAGTTCTGCATAACGTTTGTAATTATGGGGAGGTTTCAGGAAGAATCAGCAGCTATGGAAGAAAAGGCCATATTTTATTTGTGTGTAGGACAGTAAGGATTACATTGTAAAGGTTTGAAAGAAGTACTATAAAACCAAGGAACAAAGCAACTGATATTCAGCGCTGTTATAATGTAGCTTAAATAGAGAACATAGCACCTGGGCAGGCACCCTCGCACTTGCTGGTGGTGGTGTGCAGACCCTGCAGGCTCTTTGGTACATTGATAGCCCCTACACAGTAGGGATGGTTTCACACCAAGGAGCCTGGGACTCTTATCTCTGTCTCTTTAATGGAGGACATGTGTCCAACCGTGTAACCCAATACAAAATCACAAACTTAAAACATTTTTTTTGTTGTTGCAATTTTACTTTTGTAATACAGTTAGAAAATTCTTCAGTGTGAACTTTGTATGTGATAAAGTCTTCTTGCAATGGGGAAATGTTGGATATAATAGGTGGAGATGATTTAGAGAAAATGGATCCTCTAGTTTGAAATGAAAGCAAGGTTTCTTTGGGGGCTAGTGGTGAAGGAAACTAATACATAACTCCTTTAGAATACATAGTCCAGGCTGCCCTCTTAGTACATCTGTTGCCCTGCTTATGAATATTGTTCTAGGAAGGTTCTATAGTACATAAAGTAGGACAGAAGAAAAAACTGGGAAGATGATTACAAGAAAGAACTAATGGGTTTCCATTTTGTCCTGAACATAAAATCTGAAATGGGACTTAATAATGACCTCAGATATGTGGAGGGCTTCACCATAGAAAGATGACAAAAATTTAAAGTGAATTGTGGTATAAATTTAAGTCAGAGACATGAATCTCACACTATTTAATAATTTAAATCCAGTATTAAATCCAGTTTCTCTTCAAAATTCATTTTTGTGAAAGGCAGCCCTTTTCAAATCTATTCTACAACAACCAAACATCCGTACATGAGTCATTCTTCTGGTGTGCCTCTACTTCCCAGCTCCTAGTTACATTTCTCCAAAGCAGTTCCAGGGGTGATAGCCCTTCTCATCCTTGCCGTCTGTCTTCTGCTATCCCCTCCCCTGCTTGCTTTATTGAGAAAGCATCTCTGTGTGCACCAGAAGCCCTCACTCATTGTGACCCCATTGTCCCTGGTGCCCAGTGCTCTCACCATCATTGCACAATATGTCGCTGTGCTTCAGCCTCCCTTTTCTCCTGACACTGCTTCTAATCATCTTTCACCTTTAAATACTTCTCTGTGTGAGATTTCCAGCTGTATCTGACCTTTCTTTTATCTCTGAGTTTGGCTGAACTCAGAGTGTCTGTTTATTTTTTTTTTATTTTTGATTTGTACAGTTGAATGAGTTCTATCTTCATGAAACTCATGTTTTACCTTGAGTATGATGGTTAACCTCACTATACTGTTTCATCTGGATCCTTGGGTAAAGCATTATACAGTTACTTCCTTTCTCTCTTTCTGACTTCCAGTCTTTTCTTCAGATTGCAGAATTTATTTTCTCAAAGTGCTCTTTGGATGTCATCATAATTTCATAGTTTTCTGTGGCCTTGGGTTAAAATGTAGTTAGGGTCCCTCGCTATGGTGAACTCTTTTCTGACTTTGGGCTTTTTTTTTGAGATTTATTCCTACCATGCTGCTTACCTTTCCCTATTAATTTTGAACACATTCTACTTCTCACAGCCTCAAGTGCTTTTCTTCTTATTATCTGTATAACTTACATCCCTTTTCTGTTTACCCGCTGCTGATCTTTAGACTGCATGGACGTCTGTTGTTACTCATAAGTGGCCCTGTACAAAGTGTCAAGGCATTTCTCACAGGCTGCAGTGATCGCTGGCTTCTTATGTTTGCCTCCTGGTAGAATGTAAACAGTGCAAGCATCTGTCAAAATTCTATCCCCAGGCCAGGGTCTTCACCATGACTATGGAGGTATTTTAAGTTTTGCATACTAGGTAATTGAGGGTTACATATGGACTTTGCAGATAAGAAAGCCATGTTATGCTAGTTTCAGAAAATCTGCACATTCTTGACTGTACCCTTCAGTATTGTATAATGTACCCATACACTGGTTTGTCTTTGTTTTGCAATATTGAATCTCTGTGTTTTCTCTCTGCGTAGCCCAAGCTGCCTGGTGATTTGCTTTTGCTTCTAGAGTCCCTAACGTGGAGTATCCTGTCTTTCCATGTACCCTTCCCTAGTATCTGAAATGCCTCTTAGTCAGTGTACCCATCTACACCTAAGAGGAGAGATGCCACCCTCTGAATTATCTGGCCTACAGTTATTATTATGTAGAGATCTGCTTCAGCTCTCTTAACTCTCATTGCTACCTTGAGAGTCAAAGGATGTCAAATCAACCATGGGTTTCCCTTTTGACATATCAGAATTACAAACACTGCTACTGTTTTAAATCAGCAAATGTAAATAATAATTGAGGCAACACCATTATGAATCTTAAAGTAAACTGAGCTTTTATTCCTGATTTTGTTGTTGTTGTTGAGAGGAATGAATTAAATGATCTCTCAGATTTCTTGTGGATCCCTATTCTAGGAAGAAGATGAAGCTTGTTGGGGGATAAATTGAGATATCTTTAATGAACAATGTCCTGTTTATGAAAGGAGGGGAATGTGAGGATGCTAGCTGCGTAGACTCATTGACCTTTCCAGATGGAGGATGTATTGTATGATCACAGGCATTTTTATTTTTATTTCCTGTGTCAGAGTTTTGACATCTTCCATTCTTAGGGCAGGGTTTAAGCCTTGCTATACTCATTTCTCCGAGTTTTGCCCATCATGGTGATTTGCGTTGTATGTCTGTGCATATGCAGCTATTTGGAGTGTTTTATTTCAGATGCAGTCATAGCTAACCCATCTTCCTGCGTGAATTTCCTGTGAGAACTTAATCTTCATTCTCATTTCTGTATGGGCAGTAAGTGGTCTCTTAGGCTTTTGGGTAATTTCGGGAAGGTTCCCAGGGAACCTGAGAATCACAGAGAGCTCTGTTGGTGCCTTAGGGGCTTTCTATTCACACAACACTTTTGCTCTTGTTGGCGTCTTTTGCTGGTACATTTCCTGCTCAAAGGAGATTTAATCCAGGTGATGTTAGAAGATCTCTAATGTCCCTGAGGAGGGGGAAATGATGCCACAGGAAAGGCCTTGGAATCTCTGTGTGCTTTCTAGTACTTCACTGTCCAAATAAAACATTTCTTATAGGAGAAATAAATTCTGATCAGCGGATCTCAGGTGTTGAATCTTAAACAGAAAACCCCCAGTGTTGAAAGATTGGACTGTTTTATAGAACTCCTCACTGATGGTTATCAGTTGTCCAAATACAGAAAAAGATTGGTTCTATATAGCAGAGATTGAATTTCCTGAACACTTCTGGTGTCATTTTCTGTACTGCTTTTGGTGTGTGTTGTGTGTGTATGTGTGTTTACTGTAGCTTTTTAAATACTCATCAAATTCATAGACCTAAGGTCATTAGTGGTGGTGTCAACACTTCCAGTAAATGTCTTTGCAAGTGTCTCCACCTTTGATGGAGTTTTAGTTTTGAAGTTCTGAAATGCATGGAGATTTTTAGAAATTTGATGTTTGAAACATTGTTTTAGTTCCATTTGTTGTTGTTGTGACTGTAATACAATACCTGACAAAAAGAAACTTAAAGCTCATTTAGGCTCCCTCTTTGGAGGTATGTCTACATCACAGGGAAGCCAGAGCAGTAACGAGGTGAGGAGCTGGTCACCTTCCACTCACTGTCAGGAAACTGGGAGAGAGGAATGCTGCCTCCTTTTTACTCACTCCAGGACTCCAGCCCTTAGAATTGTACAGCCCACATGTAGTATGTGTGGGTCATCTCACTGGGACTCCTCTTTGATATCCTGCTATAGTTCTGTGTCATGGAGATCCTGTAGTTTTGGATCTACAGGACCAGCCTTTTCATATGTTCTGGCAGTTCATAGATGGGGTGAACCAACTCATCATGCCCTGGTTCTGGATCTGAGTGGTTGCTGGGTTGGTCAGCTGCCAGTTCTCCCTCATCCTCACCCTCAACTCTCCATTATTGCCTCAAGTAGCTAAACCCAATGCAGCAGGCAGCAAGGGGTGGGGCCAGTTCTCCTCACCCTGGCTGGGATTGGCTCGCCCACACCCACAGCATCAGGGCTAGCCCTACTGTGTTGCCCAGGCAAGGTGCAGGGTCCACTCTCCAGAGTGCTGCAGCTGACGAGGGGCAGGACCACTTCTCCTAGGCTAGTAGGTGGAAAAGGGCAGAACCAGTTCTGCTCTCAGGCCCTCAGCCTGGCTCACTCAAGTCCATTTCAATCTCAGCACTTGGGAGGCAGAGGCAGGCTGATCTCTATGAGTTCGAGACTAGCCTGGTCTACAGAGGGAGGTCCAAGACAGCCAAGGCTACACAGAGAAACCCTGTCTCAAAAAATCAAAACCAGAAAAAAGTATTCTCTGCGTTCATATCTGGAACGCCCTGCCACGATTCCCAGGATCTCTGTGGCATACCCTCTGGGCATTTGTCACACACTGAAAGAAGAGCTTCTCCCATCCCACTATGACTCCCTCTTTGACATACCTGCTAATGTATCTAATACATTTTAAACATGCCTTGATTTATGCCTTTCTTCATTCTGCAAAACTGTAACACTTTGTGAAACCACTTCCACGTTGGAACGTGCAATTTGGAGTAACCTAATTCTTTGTTTCTGGGTTATTGTCAGCCAAAAATAAATTTCCCCTTGTTCCCTTTAAGACGAGAGCTGTGGCTTTCGCATCGACATTATTCATGTTCAAATTACATTTATTTTCTAACTCTGCTTACATTTATAACCCCTTGGTACACATTAAGAAGAACAAAAGCTTGGTTGGGTCTAGTGGGAATATTAATTACGAAATTATAACTGAGACAGTCTGTTCCTATAATTCTCTAAAGCCTCTGCCTCCATCACCGCCTCTGGGATTAACCCCACTGTTCTCCACAGGAAAGGTAAAGAGAACCTCCCACCTTTCTCCATGGGAAAGATAAAGAGCTCCCATTTCCTTGATATTTAGTACAGGACCCACATTTATGACAGAGTATTTCTGTTTCTTAGCAGAAATCTATTTTTCTTAGCTAATTTCATCCAATTAATCGCTTTTGAATTTCAGGGTCTTATGCCATATGCACCTTAGTCCTTGAAATATACCATTTCCAGTCACTGAATCTGCTTGTATATTTATATTTATGATATATTATAAACTTCTATAGGAGGCATTTTGAAGGGTAATTGTGTTACAGTTGAATATTAACAAATGATAACAGCTTCATCTTCTCTAGGCTTTTCAACAGAAATCAAATGTTGACTATAATGTAGTTCCCTTCTGTGTTTGTTCCTTTGTATGTCTCCTAGTAGCAACCATATCTTGTTTATATTTCCTGTATACCGTCTTATGATTTGACAACTCACGTGTGTAGCCACTGTAGCACCTGCAGTTGCTCTAAGGGCTGGAGTTATTCTCTTCACTGCACCTGTTTTTACAATGTGCATCTTTTTTTTTTTTTTTTTTTTTTGCTGACTTTGTTTCTTACAGCTCCGCAGTCTCCATGGGAAAGGTGATTAGAATAAGCTGCTGGCCCCTGACCTGTCTTCTCCTTTTTTTCTCTCTGACCTTTTCTCATGACCTTCTCTCTACCCTCTTCACATAAACATGTCAGCTTATGAATCCACTTTCTTTTTTCTTCCTTTATTCTTGGTATTCCAGTATTCAATTTGATTTCTGTTTTTTTTTTTGTCTTAAAGATTAATAGAAGCTCATTTTTTTCTCTGCAATTACTGCAGAATAGGAATAATCCTACTGAAAGTCAAAGAGGCGTTCCTTAAATACTTTCTTTCTCTTGTTTATTTTTGAGATTATAATGTAATTGTAGCATTTCCCTCATCTCTTTCCTCTCTCCAATTCTTTCTATACACTCTACCCACTCTTCTCTAACATATTGGTCCTCTTTCCCTACTGACATTGCATGCATATATTTGTATAAGCATACATGTTCCTAAATATAACCTATTGAGTCCATGTCATGTTACTGTGTGTTTTCACAATGGACAATTTGAACTGGACAACCAATCGGAATACTCTACCCTGGGAAGCGCCACCTCTCCTGCTCCCAGCTTTACTCAGTTTCCTGTAAATCTTTGGGTATGGATCATGGCTCCATGGGATTTCCCCACCCAGTTTAGCATGTTCATTGATGTCATCCTTGTTCAGCTCATGCTTGATCTATAGCCTCCGAAGTTATCAGGAGATACAATCTCACAGCCAAGTCCCCGATCCTTTGTACTTTCTAATGTTAGAAACATGCCCAATGGAAGAGGCAGAACTCTAACTTAGAGAATATGAAATCTGATAGTATTTGTAAGGAGTTGCCTATAATTAACGTGTTTGCTGTTTAACTGTGGTGATAAATGCATTTACCACTAGATTAATAGTAGTCTTTCACAAAATCAATTTGCCCAATAAAATTCCATCTATCTTTCTGAATATTGCTTCCAGTTTTTTTTTGTGTGTTTTTCTTCTATAACAATGTTACATTTCTCTTTAAATTATCCACAGCAAAGATTACTGTTAGCAGGCCTTTTCATTCTTCCCAGTTCACTTTTTTTCCTACTGTGTGCAAGCTGTGTAGTGAGTGAAGATGAACTGGAACATTCAATTTCAGGGTCGTACCAAATGACTATGACAGATATTCAAGGCTTATAGAAACCTAATGTCTTTACAGTACTAGATACTTATTCAAATACTTCTAGAGAAGACATTTTCTGCTAAACATTTAGCATATGTTTCTTTCTTGTTGTTGTTCATGCTGGTTGTAATTCTAATTTTTATACTTGATATTTGTTCTTATTGTGTATAGTTTTATATTATGCTTAGAACTCTCCTATTTAAACAAAAGGGGGAGGTGCTGTGGGAACTCCTTCAGCCAATAACCTTTAAGATACTGGCCCACTTTTGGCATGGTCTTATGTACTATCAATGCAGACATAAAGCATATGCGGGCCCCTTTGTTGCTGGATTCAGTTCCAGTTCCCAGTGCATGCAAAGGATTGTCAATCAGTACTCTGAGTTTACCCTCTAATAAATAAACTTTTGTTATATGTAGGAAGGAGGACACATGTTTGTCCTGGCCACTGAAAACTGAAATAATCACACAGAAACATAATCATAAAATCACTCCTTGGCCCATTAGCTCTAGCTTCTTATTGGCTGACTCCTTAGATATTAATTTATCCCATTTCTATTAATCTGTGTATTGCCATGTGGCTGTGGCTTTCTGGCTAAAGTTCCATCTGGCTCCAGTGGGGCTACAGGGCTTCTTTCTGACTCTGCCTCCTTTCTCCCAGCATTCTGTTTAGTTTTCCCCACCTAGCTCTGTTCCCCTATAGCTCTGCTATAGGCCCAAAGCAGTTCCTTTATTCATTAATGGTTATCACAGCATATAGAGGGGAATCTCACATCAGTTATACTCCATTCTGGGTGAGTGTGGAACTCTTGTGTGGCAACAGTTGATGCTCTTCAAATACTATTGGGAGGCATGGGTGGCAAAGGAAGGGGAGAAGGAATGGCCACTGTGAGCACATGGGAGGAACTGCTGTCTTTGTATGTGATGGATCTTGAGAACTTTGATCATTTTCTGTTGGTGTAGTTGATGGGGGAAGAGTTGGAGATGAAGGGGAAGAGTCTAAAGACAGCGCTTACTGGTTTTGTATGATAGTAGTTACCTTTCCAGTTCCCCAGCAGATATGTATCTTTACCACGCATTCCCCAACCAATGCCTGTCCTCCTAGATCCAAATAGACATGAAGGAGCTATAAGAGTGGAACTGCCAGAAATCTTCATTCTCTGGGGCCAGAATCTCTCCAGCTTCCCTGATCCACTCGTGGGTGGTGTTCTAGTCTAAGATGATTCTTTTGTTCTTGTCTCAGTATATATTCTTAAATACAATTACAACCTTTAGCTATCCTTTTCCCTGTATTTCTTTTCTTTCTCTCTAAAACCTTCAAATATCATAATTGGGACCACCACCACATTCTTCTGATGGTTAACAATAACATACTATAACACCCAGAGCCAGCATGTTAATGAAATAACCCCTTTGTACTCACATAGTCATTACCAGCAGGTGAAGCAGAAGAGAAACTTTATTAATTCTTTGAGAGCTACCCATTTCACACAGTGTGTTGGGTGATTCTTTCCCATCTGATATTGCTCTGACTTCTCTTTAAGCCTATGCCTAGTCTATTTTCCTCCCTCATGCATTATTACCAAGATGTTTAAGCCAAGTTGATAGATGGTATAAGAGCAAATTGATTAAAATGGGCAGAGAAGAAAGGTACATTTTAGGTATTTATTTGCCAGTATTTATTTTATTTTTTTGAGACAGGTTTTATGTAAATCAGATTGACTTCAAATTCATTATACAGTTGAGGCCAGCCTTGAACTCCTGACTCTCTTGCTCTGCATCCCAGGGGTTTGAATTACATGTGTAAACTACTGTGCACAGCTTTTGTTAGATATTTAATAAGAGTTAACAATTTGATTTTATAGCAATATAATCTTGTATGTTAGGGCTTCATTCTCATTTAGTTGCATGTTATCTGCATGTTTAATCTGTGAATGTTTAATTTTTACCAAGAAATACTTTTTGAGGAAATGTTTTGTTCATTGAAAGTTTTTCTCTCCGCATTGCCACTGACATGCTTTTCCAGAGAGCCATGGCAGCCTCTCCAGTGCTGACAATGCCTTGCTCTGCTTTCCCCCAGTGACACAAATGAGGTCGACATTCCACCCAACACACGGGTGGGCACCAAGCGCTATATGCCTCCAGAAGTGCTGGATGAAAGCTTGAACAGAAATCATTTCCAGTCGTACATCATGGCTGACATGTACAGTTTTGGACTCATCCTCTGGGAGATTGCGAGGAGGTGTGTTTCTGGAGGTAAGAAAGAAACATCTTTGAACAGCTACTACCCCTGGGAGAAGTTTACAAAACCTTTCTGATCGTAAAGGATTAATGTTGGTGTAGAGCATAGTCTTAGATTTTCTTTCTCTTCCCCCTTTATTCCTGTTGATGCATCACAAACCTTCCAGGGAGTATCTATTAGAACCACCTTCGAGTGGCTGTCTCCTACCATTCCTTGACCAATGAATGTACTGCTCTAAACTCACCGCCAGCTTACCCTGCCTTGTCACACATCACCCTCTGCTTCTCTTTCTGCCATTTCACTTCTCCCTTAGACTTTCTCCAGCAGTTACTCCAGCAAGTCAACACCCTTTCCTACGCTGTTCAGCTTCTCTTTGCTTATGTGCTGGACCTCATTCCCAACCCCACTGGTGCATTCTCTGTGCTTCCTCTGCTGAGATAGCTCAGAGACAATGGGGAGTGAGACACCCATTCCTGAATATTATTTTTTTTGTCTGAAGAAAAGTAAAGGAAAATATTGTTATTGTTCATGATTTCACCACAAGTATAAGAATTACTAAAAACACCAGTTTCGTGACATGGGTTCTGGGAACCACCAAACTCTGGTCCTCTGAAAAGGCAGCAAGTTCTCTTCACCATTGATCCGTCTCCTCAGTCCCTGGTTTTGTCTGTGTAGTTTGTATACCTACCTTACCATCCATCAATCCATCTATGTTAATGTGTTAAGTAGATACAGCCTTCACCCACAAGATGTCTTTTGGTCAGTGTCTCTAGACTTAGAAAGTTCTCAGATGAAGTGATGTCTCCTCTTGGTTGGGACCAGTATTTTAATACCCCATGTGCTGAGATTACAATGAATCAAACAGAAAAATAAGAAACATAGATGTAATGTAGTAATACCATGTACTAACAGCAGGTGTCCGCAGGTGACAAACAGGCAAGTTTGAATTGTTTGGAAAAAGTTTTGAATCTTTGGATCCCTTATGTTGTGTATGACTTTGAATTTACAAAAAAAGAATATAACATATACCTCAAATTTTGCCTGAATAAATCCCCAGTGAAATTTATTATTGTTGTTATTTGTTTTCTGAGACAGAGTCTCACTGTGTAGTCTAGGTTGGCATAGCACTCTCTATGGAGTCAAGGCTGAGCTGGCCCTTTCTCTGTAGTCCTGCCTACCTTTGAGCTCAGACCTGTAAACTCTCTGCCTCAGGTTCCCTAGTGCTGAAAGGTATGTGCTATCATCCTAATGAATTTAATGCTGTGGCAGATAATCTTAGACCTTAATGATTTCATTCTGTTCAGGTAAACAGTGGCAGCATTTCTACCAAAAGTGACTTAGGAAGGAATCTGGGAGGTTGTTCAGAAACCCTCTCCATCACTAGAGGACAGGGGTTATTTAGAATTACCATGAAGATAAAGTTGAAAAAGAACATGTTAAAGTAACCCACCTTCTTAAAGGAAAGGGCAAAAAAAATTTTAAAAAGTAAAATTAGACATTAGACAGGATGAGATATATAAGAGAGAAAATTTAAGAAGAAAATGAAAATTAATAAGTTTCAAACCTGAGATGAATCATGGATGGTATTTTTGGATATACAAGTTTTCAATATTGAGTGTGCAAAACTGCTTATGACTAAACACAAATAAATGAATCTGACATTTGTTTAACTAGGATACTCTTCCAAACTTATGATGTTCTTGTATGCCAGTAATAGAATCAGCTACATGTGATATGGCTTTCATTCAAGATGCCTCTTCTAAGTTTACATTGAGACTTAATATGGACTTAAAATATAACTTGTTCATGCAAATTGTAGTTATTTGCTTCACTCAGCTTTTGGAAGTTAGCTATTGGCTTGGGGGCAGGCTTGAGGACCTATATGTGTCTTTGGGTTTCCTATTATTTTTTGCAAATTAAATTATCATTTGAGTGCTTTTAAAGATTTACTTCATTGTTAACCTGAGTCTGTTTTTTATATAATAGCTTATATTTTTAATTGAGGACAGTTGTGTTAGGCATATTTTTTTACCAGTTAATAGAAAATAATATTAACAAAAAATCCATGTCTTTAGGTATAGTAGAAGAATACCAACTTCCCTACCATGACCTGGTGCCCAGTGACCCTTCTTATGAGGACATGAGAGAAATTGTGTGCATTAAGAAGTTACGGCCTTCATTCCCCAATCGGTGGAGTAGTGATGAGGTAAGGTCAGGCTTGGGGGAAGGTATGGCTGATGTCTAAATGTACTTTTGTTTTGCAAAATTTTTTTTCCTCTTTCCATTTTTATTTATTCTTTGTGTCTTTATATCATATATCTTTATCACATTCCTTTGCATATCCCTCTGAAACCCCCACTCCAAATAAAACAGAATTTAAGAGAAGAAAGGAAAAAAAGGGGGAGGGATTAAAAATCTCATGTAGGCTGCAGTGTGACACCGTGAGTCACACAGCTGACCTCTTTGTCTGTGTATCTTTAGTTGCAAGTGTTCATTGCAAAGAGTCCTTGGTCTGGTTTGAGAGGTCTCTGGTTTCTATTGCACTATCGATGCTGGGAACTCACTGTGCCTCTTGGATATCCTGTTGTTGCCTTGTGTTGTGGAGATCCTGCAACTGTGGATCTGTGGGTCAGGTTCCTTTATGTGCTCCAGCAGATCATAGACGGAATGGATGCTGGGGGGGGAGGGGCTAAGTGATAACTGGACCTGGGCTGCTGTAGTGTTGGTCTGCCTGCTAGTTCTTTCCTATTCTCACCACCAGGGTGAGCACTCCAGCATTGTCCAGGCTAAATCCACCCCTTGCAGAATCCTACACCATCAGGACCAGTTCTATTGTGTTGCCCCTATGAGGTACAGGGGCCACACTCCAAAGTGCTACAGCGGGTGAGGGTCAGGGACAGTTTTGCTTTTATAACCATGGCACACTCCTCTACCTGTCTCAGGCATTGATGAGTGAGGAGCGTGGCAGCATTGACCTCTGCCCATGCTGACATATGTCAGATGAATAATGGAGATAGTTCTCCTTTGCTTGCAACCTCAGGGCTGGGTCACCCTTACCTCCAACTACCTGGCTCTGCTGTCTAGGCAAGGAGCAGGGCCTGATTTCCTAAGTGTTGCAGCTGGTAAGGGGGTGGGTCAGCTCTCTAATCTATTGCAGGTGGTAATGCAGAGGTAATGGGGGCATCTCTCCCCAACCCACACTGGCGTATGACAGTCAAGTCGTGGGGAAGCTCTCCAACATTTAAACTTCCGGACTGGCTCACCCAAGGATAGCTCTATTCTGTTAACCCAGGGAGGTGCAGTGCCCACTTTCCCAAGAGTTGCAGGTGGTTGGGGGCAGTGACTGTTTTCCCACTTTTGTGAGCTCAGGGTCAGTTCTTCCCTCTGACTCAGGTGTTAATAGATGGGGTCTGGGGGTGGAGAGGTGGAAAGAAGGAACTCTCCCCTGTCCCGCCCATGCTACCATAGAACAGATGGGTAATGGGTACAAAACAAGAGAATTTTTTTTTGAATTTGAAGTATAATTTCATTGTTTTCACCTTCTCTTTTGTCCTCCAACTCTCCCTATGTGCCCCATTGCTCTCTTTCAAATGCATAGCCTCCATTTCTTTAATTATGGTTTTGCACACACAAACACACGTGAATGTATATATGTATTCCTAACCATAGAAATACAACCTGCTTAGGGTATATAAAGTACTTGGATGTAAATGATTTTAGGACTGACCATGATGAGAGCTGGAAAAATAGTCTTTCTCAGGGAAGAGCCTCTAAATTGATTATTCAATAGTGTGTGTGTGCGCGCGCACGTGTGTATTAAATTAAATCCTGAGAGGTTATTTGAGCTAATCTTCTTACTGCCTGGGCTTAAATGTGAACCCCACATATGCGCGGAAGACTCTACTAGGCTTGGATTACGTGAGTGGACAAGACCTGGGCTCTGCCCTTGTTTTCTGCTCGTGTTTCTCCGCCCACCTTTCTGCCTTTGCTCACCCACAACTGAGGGTCTGGAATGTTGGAAAATTCAAGACTCTAATCAAACTTGTACTGAGAGGTGTGTAGAGCACGGTTCACAAAGTGTCCATGTAAATTCATTTAAAATAATTGGTTCATTGCATTGCTACTTAGTATATGCTTTCTAATAAAATGTGAAGAGAGCGTGATGGGATGCTGGAATTATTGTCTTCTGAAGGAGACTGTGGGTATTGGTATCATTTGAAAGCTCTTTACTGCTGATTTCTAATGAAGGGAAATTGCTCTTTGCAGAAAGAACAATTGGTAGACCACAGGCAAATCCAGGAGAAAGTTTTAGCAAAGCTATGCACCGGTCATTAATCTTGCTAAGTGCTACAGCATTATGCCACCGTTAGAGCAGAGTGAGGTGATGTAGCAATAGTTGTGTTTATTTGAGCGGTACAGAATTAGATAAAATATTGAAACATATTATGTGTTGTAAACAATCTGGCACTATGGTGTAGAATCAGACTTACTGGCTGTCACGTTTGCTTAATACTGTCTTTAGAGTCATCCTTCCATATCCTCAGATTTACTGGGTATCATATCTGTTTAATACTGTCTTTGGAGTCATCATTCTATATCCGTAAAGCTTCTTGTCACAGAGAGAGATGAGAATCTGTGTGAGCCATGATCCTTTCTCACACACACACACACACACACACACACACACACACACACACACACACAAAGAGTTTGAGGGAAATTTTGTGTTCGTATTTTCCTAGTGCCTTAAAAATATATTCGGACTTCATGAACACCAACTAAAAGCCAAATATTGAGTGCGTTATCGAGAGAACATTCTTCTGACATCACGCCAATGTTCCTTTCTCCTTCAGTGTCTCAGGCAGATGGGGAAGCTTATGACAGAGTGCTGGGCCCACAACCCTGCCTCCAGGCTGACAGCTTTGCGAGTTAAGAAGACACTTGCCAAAATGTCAGAGTCCCAGGACATTAAGCTCTGACGTTGGATACTTGTGGACCGAGCAGGAGATTTTTCCAGAATCATCCGTAGTCCAAGCCTTGAACATTGTTCTACTGCCCAGTGGGTTCAGACCTCCCTTCTCAGAGAGCAAGTTGGAGAGACATAGAAGGCCCCAGAGACACAGATGGCTTTCTGAGGAGAGGGAACCGTTCGGGTAACTCGTTCAAGACATGATTTATATTGCTTTCTAAGAAAGCCCCGTATTTTGTGATTGCCATTTTTTTAAGAAAAGATATTTTAATTTTACCATAATAAAACAAATATTGTAGATGATTTAAGGTTTATAAAACTCTAGTTTAAATAATAACAAAATTTCTTTCCAGAAAATTTCCTAGAAGTCAAAAATGTTTTCCATTGGCAAAATACTCTAGCACTCTACAAACCCAATCAGTCTGAGGGAATAAATTATAATTCAAATTCCCTGCTTCATTGCCCCAAGCATCTCAGACTGGGTCAGCCCTGCTGTGGGCTGCCAGGGCAGTGTGAATGTCCATGCATACAAGTCCTACCTGCCTGGGACCACAGCTTGGAATCCTGCAGGTGGATCTCTTGCACCTTTAGCCAGCGTGGAACAAATGAAGGTTTTCTGTCACTAATAGAAGTATGTGTTGGTGGGTGTTCTTTAGAACCCTGCCTGTTTCTGCTTGTATTGGGCAGATCTTTCGGGTAGAGCCTCTCCTTGTCATTAAAAACAAGCCAACCTTCCTCTTCTGCAGAGCGCTGGCATGGGCATGCTTTTGTTCGCATCCATCAGAAGATCAACTCAAGTGTGGTAGAGACAAAGTACTTAAAACTAGAAATGCTTTGTTCTTGTGTTGCATGAAAAACATGCCAGTAAGGCAGGGCGGACGTTAAAGGTGTAAACAGATGGCTTGACCCTTATACATGTGTAAGAGCCCATCACAGAGGCACAGGGAAGAGGTTCACTCATGCTAGTTTGTGTAGATACAGATGGTTTTATGTTGCTGTCTTTTCTAAACCTCAGATTTAAGAGGCAGAAAGGAATCGCCTGTGAGGTTAATGTCACTAAACTTCAATTTAGAAATGAGCTCCAGGTGGTTGAGCAGAGGGACATTAATGAAGGTCATCAAATATCACTGCTGCTGTGGTTTATTCTAGACTAGATATGGATCTGGTATGGACCTCTTAAGTGATTATTTCACACCTTATGTATGAATACTTCATTCTAATGTGAATTTCACTATTAACTTATTCTGTTTATCCATCATGGCATATGTACAAAACATCTTCTGATTCAATTCTGTGTAGTTTAACTTTTGACTATATGAGCAAAATCACTGATAAGCCAATATTCCTTAGAAACAGGACCAGAGTAAAGTGGAAATTGCCACACGACCCTTGCGACTTTATCCAGTTATTTCCTTGCTGTGTTTCTTCCTTAATGATTAGAAATTACTTACTGGTTATTAAGGAATGTTGAAGTTTTTTGCCTTACAGAATGACATTCCTTCCAGAATACTCCAGGGGGCAGTGTTTTCTTACACATGTCACCACTTGAAAGATGGAGACTTTAGGAAAAATTGTCAACCGCATGAGAAATGAGGAAATGTTCCACTCTCTTCTGGAGTAGACGCTCAGCTGGTAGGCTGTTCGTCTGGAAAAGATCCTGGAGCTACAGTGTCTTTGAGCTGTACTCGGAGTTTGGGAAAACCGAGAGGGCTCTCCCCTTCTGTTCTAATTCACTGCCAGGTTTTGTTTTCCACTAAGAAAGTAGAATTTCTCAGTTCTTGAATTTGAAGAAATAAAAACGCATTGTTAATTTAATAGTAATTAGATTTTTTTTTTTTTTTTTTTTTTTACTGAGGCCAGTAGAAGCTGAGTCTCTGAGGAGTCATTTCTCTGTTGAACTATATCTGCTACAGACAGTTTTCCCCTTACATTTGTAAATTTAGTGTGGCAGTCATCTGAGACTGGGAGAAAGAAACCTAAGTGCCTAGACAGGTTCATCTACAAACACCTAAGTAAGCATTCTGCTAGTTAACTAGATATATTTGGATTTTTTTTCTCGGTTTTCCTTGGGTGTAAGGGAAGTTGTGGGGACCTCTTAGGTCAAGCTATGTTTTCTTATCAGTAGATTTTAAAACATGGATATCTTCAAATCAGAATGTTGGTGGTGAGGCTGTTGGTGATGTAAAGTTGGCGAGATTTCTAGGGTTCCAGGGAAGAATGGGGAGAAATTTAAGAGTGCCCAGATTTCATCCGTGGTATTCATTTTGTTGCTTTTGGGAAAAATCAACAACTCACTTTCTAATTATTACCCATATTTATTCAGGATGAAAATCTTGAAATCATTAAATACTTTAAAAATCCACTCAATTATTACCAATTTTCAATGAAATAAGGATTTATAATTTATTTATGGATATAGTTTCTGTCTTATGAAAATACACTTCCTAGATCTGAATTTAGGTTAAGGACTACCTGTTCACATCCCAATAATCTGTGATAACTTTTAAACTTCTAGCATATCAGAAATGAAAGTTATTTTATCTTTTGCTTTGGCTTCTTGCAAATCAGTAATATAATTGACTGCTGCTTACCTTTGAGACTCTATCAAGGAGTAAGATTTCCTTCTACTTCTTCTCCCCCAAAGGAATCCTAAATTATTGTTAGGTAAGCTTTGTATGTTCAAGTTTATGATTAATGTATGTGTGTATATATTATATAAATATAGATATATATGTAAATATGTTCATTCTGGAGTCTGGCACAACTCTAGTATGTGGATTAGAGAGTAAAATATTATGGGTGGTAAAGTCCTAAATGAAGCATAATATTTATTTATGAAAGCATGTACATTGTTAATCACAAATGACAAGCAGTAAGCACTATGTCTGACCTCTTGGACAGCTTTCCCTGAAGTCACTACTGACCATTCTTTATATTCCTCAAACAGAAAGCTTCTTAGATGACATGCTGGGGTTTTATTTACAGGGGATTCTTTGACACATTTCAATTGGTGTGAACTTAAGGATAACATGTACTTAATAATGACTTGACTTTAATGTTCCTAGGGTCATGCATATTCATCAGGAATTTTATAGTGTTCACCTGTTCCTATACTTTATTGTAGATGGAAAGGCAGTGAGAAAAAAATTTTTTTTGAAAAAAACTTTGAATATGTTTTGGCAGTTATGCCCCCTCTGAATCCCCCAGTCCCATAAACAGTGGAAATGAAAGGGACAGCACCAAAACTAATGCAATCTAACAATTATAACTAATTGTTGCACAAACTAATGCCATATTTTTAAAGAGAAAAGGTGGCCATATGTGGGGGATATTTTATTCTGTCTGTTCCAAAAGTAGACTCATTTGTGTTCTTTAGGGGAACCAGTGCCTTATGGAATTTGTATATACTGTAATTATTCAGGGTTAGGGGACAAACAATGTATTTGTTACAAATTTTGTGTGACCTGTTTTCATATTTCCTTCAATAAATGGTGTCATTTTCCCCGTGGAAGAACTGTGATTGGTATCTCATAGGTGTGTCTTTTCTTTGTCTTTGAAATGACCTCCTGACAGCAAGTGGGACGGTTTCAGTGAAGAAGTCAGAGCAGGTAAATATGTGCCCTGTGCTCAGGAGGGCCAGGGGACCGGGGCCTTCCACTTTCTCTGTTTAGGAAACACAGCCATCTGGTGAGGAGTTGGAGGTTCGAGAGAAATGAAGAAAGACTAAAATTTCACTGTGGAAAATGACAGCTTCCCAGGGAAAAGAGCCAGTTGGCTGTGGGCAATGCCGAGGACCAGTAGAGGTTGTTAGTACTCAATGTGGGGCAGCGGATCCCAGAGCTACATGAGGACCAAAGCTCACTCTTATGTCAGTGCTGTGATGATAGGGTTCAGTCTGAACTTCTGAAGTCCATTTCTTCCCCTTGAAGTTGAGACCAACAGCAACATCTATTGCATAGAGTGTTTCTGAAGAAGGAATAAAGCGTGTGCTCAGCCTATGGTAAGTAAGCACCCAGCTGACTATCAGTTCTTAGTACAGGCTCACTGTGCACCTAGTTTTTATTGCTTGTGAATTTTTTTTTAAATAATATCCCTCCGGATATGGGTACAGAGACAACATCTTAGGGTTTAATTAGTGTTCCAAGGAAAAGAGAATTATAACCAAAGGGCCGCGTGTCATGGGCCTCCAGAGGAGAGCATAAAAGACAGTTAGTAAAGAGAAAGAAACTGCATCTGACTGAGCTTGTGTAATGTGTTAGTGGTTCCTGAGAAGGGGAGGGATTAAAATCCAGATTTTGAAGGGCAAGAATGAGGACAGGTAGAGGTGTCAGCTGAGGTGGTAGGCTCAAATTCGTGGCCATGATTGTTGGTGGGGAAAGCCCAGAGGCTACACTTGTGGACTTAGAAATCATCAGGATGGCGGCAGCTTCAGGAAGAGATAAAATTCTCCCAGGGCTGTGAGATAATGAGTAGGAAGCCAATGGGGAAAACGATTAGATCTAGAGGTGGACTTGAAGGACATAAGGATCTGAAGGGCAACACATGATTGATGATGACAGTAAGGAAGCTTCAGAATGGCATGAGTCTGGCTTTTTCTGTGTGGGAATGAGACCCCTGTTTTTGCCTCAAAAGCACCATCATGGAAGCAGAAAGCCCTCTGCAAAGGGAGAAGCCAATGCTGCTCTTCCATTAAGTGTGAGAGGAAGAGAGGATGGGAGGCTTGTTTCTGAGGGCATGCAATTGAGATTGGAAAGAGAGAGGAAGAGAGATAGGACTGTTTGGGTTGGACAGTAAGAAAGGTTCATGACTTAGTGACCAGGGATCGAGAGGCCTCAGGTTTGTTTGGCATTTTAGTCTACTGCACTTATGCCAAGAGAGTATAATTTGGGGTTCAGATTAATTTAGCTTTATTCCCTCAATTTTTCTTTCATGGTTCTTCAGAAATAATGTAATCTGTGAGCCCTGGTACTTTTACCTGTACCTTGACGTAAAAATGTTCCCTGGGGTCTCTTATTAAAAAATAAGGTAACTATATAAAGTACATAGCTAATGGTTGGGGCATTGTAGTTGGTCATCAATCCAGCCTCTTTTCTGACAGTTTTGGTGGATGTACAGCTAACAAAAGTTCAGAGCCCGAGGAGGCTTGCTTTTGGAACCCACCCTTCTGATCCTCCAACTTCTACATGTTATGGTTCAAGCCAAGCACCTCACAGGACTCAAAGGCAAGTATCAAAACTGGGCTGAGTGAAATGGGTTTCTTTTTCTGTGGGTTACTTTATATGTGGCAGGTCTGGTTTCTCATCTGAACTGGCAGCAAAGTACAGAAGTCCCCTCATTCAGGAGAACTAAGTGGGCTCAGCATTTCCTCCTCAAGCTTCTGATATTTACCCAGTCAGAGGATCTCAGAGGCTGAGAAAGATTCTTTACCTGCTGCCTTACATTGGCACTGACGATGGATTCAGAGCCAGGTCAACCTCAGGACTCTAATGACCTCATAGGCAGGGAATGAGGGCTCACAGGTTTGACCTTGATAAACATTTGCATATTCTCCAAACTGGGGTGGCACTATCAGGGCAGCTTCCAGCTACTGAAGCTCAAAGGAGGGACAGAGGGTGAACTATATTAAGGGACATGTGTTGTCTTTTCCTGTGACTGCTTTTATTTGCTTCTTAATCAAATTTTCAGTCTTTTATCCTCAGACATCCCATTGAGTTTGTGCAAGGCCCCTTTATAGGTTTTCATTACTTCTTTATCCCTTGAACAAATACAACAGTTTGTCACCATTGTGTAGCTCCTGGAGGTTAACATTCTCTTCTCTAGCTCAGTGGCTTACCTTTATCCGCTAGCCAGGAGAGGAGAAAAGGGCTAGGGCTAGATGGCAGTCAATCTATTGTACTTCTCCAAATCAGTCTATCACTGAGGAATGAGCCGACTCTGCTCTTCCTCCTCAGAGGCTTAGCTGTTTTTCACCTCAAACCTGCAAACTTTCTACTTTCTCATTGGAATAACTGTGGTTGTGTGCTATATTCTAGGATTCACGATATCTCAGTGCTGGGCCATGTGGTTTGCCTTTACTTTCTTGTTATTATGATTATTTACAAACTCCACTCTCAAGCGGATCTTTGAGTATAGATCCTGACCATGTTTATAATCTGCTCCAGAAAATATTGATGCAGGTGCTGGAAGATGCTACCTGAATTAACTGCTCGCTGGCATCGGCTGCAAGCTTTCTCACACTCTCTGTTCAAGCTGCACTCAGACCAAGGAAACCAGAGTCTCTAAAGGTGGGTTGGAGGCATTGGCCCAGAGATTGTAATGTGTAATGGTACCGGAGAAGGGTCCTTTCTAGAACTTCACCTTGTCAAGGTTATGACTCTCATTGAAACAGGAACCAAGGTATTCCAATTTACTTAAAAAATCCATGATAGTTCCCAACACGAAGTATTTCCATGTTACAAAGAATCAGAGCAGGCCTTCCCATTGCTTATAAATATAATTTATTACCTGTTTAAAAATTCTTTCTTACATTTTGTACATGTTGGCTGACAGAATAAATGCAGGCAATTTACAAACCAAGGGGACTGCAGGAAAATTGGGTGAGGCAACTGGGGAGAGAAAAGAGGCACACCCAACGCTGGTATCCCTCACCTCCACCACACAGCAAGGCGATGAGTGGAATGCTGCAGAGCACTCCTCTGCCACCAGGGGTCGTTAGAAAAGGAATTGCATAGAAGATACAGCAAGACAGAATTCTATAACAAAGAAGTGTTCCATATCTGAGAAGCCAAGGTTGTGTTGGTTTTGCTAAAAAAAGAAAAACAGACAAAGCATAAACTTTTAACCTGATACTTATGAAGTTGAGCTGGTTGAAAGAAGACAGTACAAGGGTGACCCAGCCTCTCTTTAGCAGAGAGCTGGGGATTGTTTTCTGATGAATATTGGTTTTCATCTTTAGAACAAAGAGGAAGGTTACTGGTTCCCTCCAGCTCAACATTAAGCTCAATACATACAACACTGTGATACCCAACACACACACACACACAATGCACACACACAGTGATGATATTCCCTGCAACTTGGCTAAACACATTGACTGGAGGTTGAGGGCATTGCTACCCATAATAGGTCTAGGAAAAAAGTGAAAGAAAGTATACAAGTCTTATGTTCAACTGGCTCCTCTTTCTTTTCCAAGATCTGAAGGAAAATATGAAAGTCCATATGTATACAGTTACAGGTCCTATTAATGACTGCAGAAACACAAAACCGACAAAGGCATTTTCTACTGGCTGTGGATTTCTTGTTTTGTATGCTGCCTTACAACTGGTTTAATATACAGTTCATCATGATGCTTTGATGTTGCTGCTCCATAGTGCTGAGTGAAGATCAAAGGCCAAGAGCTCATCACCCTTAGGCTGCTGATCAGAACAACCAGCCCACGGTTCACAATCACCACTGCTGGGTGTCACCAGGCTCCATGGCATTAGGCCTTTGATATGGAAAGATGACACATGGTTTAGGCTAATGTAAAATGGCCCAACAGTACTTTCACGGGAAATTTATGATTCTGCCATAGCACAAATTCTCAAATCATATATAAAAAAGCTGGTGCACCATAGCAAATAGCATGGCTGGTGGACAGTTGATTGTATTTCATACACTCCCTGGTTTTCCACTGAACAACTAGTGGGTTGGGCCATGACTGTCCTGATATATGGCAAGGACTTCCAGTTGAGTATTCTGTATGGTCATGGGACAGATCCCTTTAGTATATATAGTTGAATATACTGAAGAATTGCAGGTAGTCTCTTATTGGGTTTGCCTGCTTTTATGTTTATGGAGTGTGTTTGTTTGTCCTGAGGATACTTCCCCAACCACGCTTAAGTAGGCCTCTGACAGAAAATACTGTTGGTTGAAGGAGCCCATTACTATCCTACCACAGCTCAATAAAGAAAGCAGTCAAGCCCAATGAATGTTCTGAAGACTATGGCAGTGAGTTTTCAAAACAAGGGCGATGGCCAATAACACCAAAGAATCCATAGCTGCATTGTTAGTCTGAAGAGATACTCCACCCGGCACATGCAGGCCATCTCCACTCTCACAAAGCAAGTGAGCCTAGTTGTCAGCTTTTTGGAAACAGTTATGACTTCATGTGGCTTATTTAGCCTATATGGACATGAACTTAACCAATTAGTATTGGTTATGATGTGTATATTCCCCATAGTCCCAATTCCATAAAAAAAATTGCTGGGGAACTGTCAAGGTGATCAGTATAAGCAGAGGTGATACAAACACATCTCTCGGGGGCAGAGAAACAACCATTTCATTGCACAGAAGGGAAGTTAGAAGGTTTTCAGTCAATGTCAGCTCAGTATGCTTTAAAAATACAAAAGCAATACAAAACCAAAGGAATAAGATAGTTGGTCCCACGAGGCACTCGGAAGGCAAAACCAGTTTTATTAACGAGATAATAATAAAAATAGTTTTCCTTTTGGATCTATAAAATAAGATGCTCATTGGC